TTCAAGTAATTAGTGATGAAGTTCCTCCAATTCTCTGACAATTTAATCTTATTACCCTTGACTTTGATAATGCTGTTGTAGAAAGCAAAAAAAGAAAACTTGCCTTGAGTAGAGGAGATAAAGCAGCAAGCATTGCAGCATGGCATCTCAACTTTCCCTCAGGGCAAACAATAGTTACATCACAAAATGTTTCCTCCTTCCATAGATCAGCAAAGCCTGTAACTAGTTCATGAATAAGTACACCTCTCTGATCAAGAGACACCATGGTAGTTTCCACGAAACTACCATCCTGGACTGCATGTCCAGATCGTCTAGAATGTCGCTTCATATTTCAAATTTTCTTTGTCCAGTATCCATCACGAACCTGAAATCCTGAATGCAAGGTGATATGAGAGCACAGCCTTATAATTAGAGATGCAGCAATATTGAATTTTGGCTGAGATCCAATAAACATATATAATTTAAAAAACTCTTCTGATACCAAAAATTGGTACTGATATCTATTTCCCCATGTTCAAATCCTAATAATTATTTCCAATGAAGACACTCATAAAAACATCATTTGTATCATAACATTCTTGCTTGTTATAGTTTTGGATGAGTAAAAATCACAAATAGCAATGAATCAGACCAGTTGCTGCTGGTGGGTGGTATTTACCTGGGCCAAAAGTTTCTCTGGGTGATTTTGGGTACTACTTGTTTGCCCTTGAGCTCTTACATAGGCCACTCTGCATTCCTGTGTGAAATATAGTGCTTCAATAGCACTTGTCACATCAGCCCAAGTGGCCTGAGGGGCATCAAAGTTGCTGAACCTCATGCATGAGGAACAACATGCAAAGGTGTCCTAAGAGTCAAGTGAGAATTTGTCCGGCTCAAGTGAAAAATGCAGCGTTCAGCTGCTTGTGGCATTTGTCCTTATCTGTCCATATCTGTTCCAGTCCACTTTTAAGGAAGTACAATAAAAAAAAGTGGGGGGGGGGAGGGCTTCATGAAATGAAAGGTGGAAAACATATCCCACCTTTCTGAAAGCAAGATTACACAGATTGATTTTATCTCATCCTTTTCTTTAGGAGCAATACTTGTCCTAAGTCCTTAGTTGGAAATAACTGTGATGCCTTCCACATTATAAATATGATTTGCTATATTTTCTGCAAGATTGTGATACTTATACCAAATGCTGAATTTAAACTTTTGGTTGATCTGAAGAGAGATGCTTAATGAGGGCATATTGAGAGTAAATGGAACTAATCTATATTAGAAAGTGTCATGAACCCTAGTTTATTGAAATAAATTCAGAACTAGGATGTACAATGTTCAATGTCCATATATCATGGGCAGCCATTGGTTCTAGGTCCATTTGTTGAAATATGCTCATAGTTTCTCATGCTTACCACTGTCATTGTTATTGATGGAAAGCACTGAGGGGGGTTCATTCCATCAAATACATGCAAGGTGTATCAGCACCAGCATCTCTTTTAAGGATGGGGAGCAGGGGGCTCATTTAGCATATGCTCAGATGCAGAGCATTCTCTAACTGAAATTAATGTGCTTAGACATAACACATATTTCCCTAAATGCTGCTCTAGGCAGAGTAGGGCTTCTTACCAGGATTTTACCCAGTGGCATACTTCACCTCCCAACAATAATAATGAACTTATCATCATGTCTCTTCAGTCCAAAAAAATGTCAACTACATCACCATATCACTAGGAACCTTTGCCAAATTGGAATCAGTCAAAATATATTCATTTTAGATTGCTTGCATCATCACAGGTGCTACGGTCATCTGTCCTATGTGAGCTAATATCAAAGATATGCTTTCATTATCAATCTACAAATTTCTCAGTAATTGTGCATGACTTTTCTTCCCTTCTAGATGGACCTGTGATGGCAAGAGGAGATTGTAAGATTGCTTCGAAGAAGGCTGATTGTTCTGGGGAGGAACAGGGTTACTGGTCTCCTTGTGCCTGTGAACATGTACAGAAGTTCAGTATGGTACTGTATTTTTCCAGTTTCTGCTGTGCCGTGCATATTAGAGGTGCCAAGGCTGTGAGCAACTTTGAGATTTAAGGTTTGGAAAAATGAGCAAGAGTATCCACTCAGCAAACAAGACCATTGCAGTGATTTCAAGAAAGTAGCACTCTCTCTAGGTCAGAGGTGTCCAACTCAATTTGATGAGGATTAAATGATTTGGTTCAGGTGTGTTTTGGGGTCTCATTAATGAATCTCACACCATATACACCACATTTTTAATGTGAACGAGTGAAATTTGAAGCAATTTTCTGAAATCAACTGTTAAAGAGGAATTCACAGGTCGGAGAAAATTAATTGGCAGGTCAGATCCAGCTTGCAGGCCACCAGTTGGACACCCCTGCTCTGGGTTGTCAGAGCTCTGCATTTGGAATACACATGTCCACTTTGAACGAAGGTAAGCATTTGCAAGCTTTCCCTAAGAATGTGAACCCATATCAGGGAGGTAACAGTTCCATTGGAAGCTGGATCTTCCAATTGGATAGAAAAGTACAAGGATAAGACTGAAGAAGGCTACCTCTGCCTTGCAGGCCAGCTAAATTAAAACTTGCTTTTGTTTCTTTTCATAGGTAAAATGTGGTGATTATTGGTGCCGTTTGAATACATTTTAATGATAATTTCATTACATGTGGAGGAAATACTGAAGGAGAAGCTTGTGTTGATTCATTTAATCTGGTGGTGAAATCATTTAGCAAAGATAGATCAAATAGAATTTGGTGGTGAGTGACCAAACTATATATTCTGCTGATGAACCATTAATTCTTCATGATGAAGTCAATATTATTTTTTTGAGTTAAACATGGCACAAAATGTCAGCCTAATGCATCCTCCATGGCAGATGAACTAGACCTAACTTTAAAACTAGCACTCCCTTATGGATAGACGTTAAGCTCGAAATTAAATGAGATTCAAATCATTCCTGATTTTTTAAACCTACCTTTGGTCATTATGATTGCGAATTCAGGATTCCTAATATGCCAACTGCCAATAATTACGCAAAAGTTAGGGATTCCTAATCAAGAGCACTATCATAATCCTAGTCCTTATAGTTCAGATCCTTAGAGATCGGATTGTCTGGAGCAGGCAAAGGTAAGACTTAAAACGACATGGGTGTCTACAAGGCACGTAGGTCCTCCACCTACGTACGATTTTAAGCTATGCAGACACGATTCATCGGGAAAACATTGGTGTCAGAGCAGATTCATTTGAAAGCGTGATGATTTCATGTAAAACAACGAACTTGCAAGCCTACAACACTACCAGCCCTTTCAGCCTAGAAACGAGGCCATGGGTGAGGCTTGACGCTGAAGGCCACTGGTCTTCAATTGAGTGGGAAACATGGTTGCCACTACCAGCGTGCGAAAGCTCTCTAGTTTATCCATCAAGTTCATTCCGTCCATTTGTTTCAAAGAGTTACGAGAACGAAGCATATTCACAAAAAGTGTAACCCTATTATTATTTTAAAAATCAAATACCTCAGAAAGAATGAACGATATTCTGCGAGGAGCTGAATTCGAGAAATTTGGCTTGACTGTTCATAAATGGCTTCTCGCATGCAGCGCCTTCTGAAGCATTTAAACGATCTCGTATTTCTGGCGTTAAGTACGCATGTGGTAACTCGTGCTGTGTGCATTGAGTTCGTAAGTGTATCGTAGGCCTGTTGGTGTGTGCGTGTTCTGCTGCTTTGAATGACTTAATTCTACTTAATTATATTGACGGTCAATTCAGAGCAAAAGTTTGGAAAACCACAGAAAGGAACCCAACTTCTAAAGCCTAGTACGATGAAATAACTACAGTAATAATACGAGAGTGGGATTGAGAAAAAAACAATAAAGAAGGTTGTAAGGAATGGAATACTAGAGGATATGCTTAATTGTTAGGGAAGGAGGTATACCTTTACTCCGCCAGTTGAAGTTGACCTGGACCCACTGGTTTTTGCTGTTTGCAATTGCAAACATTTCCATGTTTTAATGCTCTTACAACCAGAGTCTCATATTTCAATTGTGTCAATGCTTCCATTTGTTTGTCTACTATAATGAATGAAGACATTCAAATCTACATTAAAATATGCAGTTAATCAAATTACCTTACTATGAAGAAGAGGTCATATGAAGGTGAGAGTGGTCTTACAGTAACTGTCACTGTCTATAGGCTTGCAAAAAAATAAAATGTTAATTGGTTAATTTAAAAGTCAATTAGTTTTTCCCAATGCTAGTTTTTTAGTGCTCTCTCTTGGATTGGACTATGCAGTCACTTAGACTTCAATGACACTCTACATCTGATTAGTAATTGTATTTTCTCTTGCTGCTAAATAAAAATTAACTTGAGTTCTCAATGTCTGTTGAAATTTTGTTACCTGTGAAATAATCCCATGGGACATTGGTGTGGTCTAGTAATTGTATAATATATATGTCCAAGCCTCTATAACCTCAATGTTGTGATGAATACTTTCCCTAAAAGAAAGACGATTCATGAATCTCACAGTTTTCATTATTGTTTGAATTACTTGAAGAGTTTCTGTTGCAAGCCCTCTTATTCTTGGTCAGAAGCATATGTGTATGTAGTAGTCTGCAATTTCTTAGTGTATTTTCTTTTCGACTAAAATGTCAAACCCCCATGTTTCACCCTGCTTGATCTGCTCTGGATGTATGCAGGGACACAACTAACACATTGCAAACAAATCATCTGATAGCTTATCTAACTATTTTGAAGCTGAGGTACCCATTATTAAAAAGAAACTCATGCAGTGCTTGAATAATTTATTAACTCATTGACGCCAGGAACCGTAATATTAAGTTTTTAAACCCATAGTGTTCTGGAGTCGCTGGGCATGAATGTGTTAAGTTGTGCAGTTAAAAATGGAACCTTTGAGTGTTGTAGAGTTGTTAATATTTCCTTTTGACAGAACTAAAATATGCTTCAAGATGTTATACCAAAGTTTCTCATTTTCATTCATTTAGCCTAATTTAATTTGTTTCATTTTTGCCAGTTGGTTTAGATGAAGACCTACATCATTCTCTATTGACAAAGAAAGTGTGCAATAAGCATAACAAGCATTGGTCCATAGGAGTTATCTCATAGCAAGAGAATTTTGGCATCATGGCTGACGAGGAATATGAACCTGATGAGTAAGTATCTTGTCCTGACCCTCTTCTTATTACTGTTACTGTGGATAGGTATAGGTCATACATTCTTTAGACCCTTGTGCAAGTAGTGAACTAACATAGTGGCTACTTACCGTGCTTATTGGGTTTTCACACATGCAAGTCTTCTCATATGGAAATAATTTACTAAAGCATTCTTCTGTGGAAAACCCATCAGGTGTCTTTACACACTCATGACAAAAATTGATATTTATTTCCTGAGCAACCATAGGTAATCAAAAAATGGATCTCTAACATAGGTAACTTTCATGTGTGCATACTCAAATGTATAAATCTACTTGTATGCATAAGATGAATGTCATTTGCTTTGGTAGCTTACATGCACCAGTGTAGCAGGTGGACTATGGCATGTGAATTTATTAACTCATTTGAAACTCACTGTAATTTTTTTGGTCCTTTCCAGTGTTGGAGAAGACATGTATGATCAAGAGCCAGAGGATGATAATATGGAGGAATTGGAGCAAGATGAGGTATATTTTACCATATTAAACAGACTTTGGGATTAGAGATATAAGTCTACTTTCTTCTATGATCTTATGCATAAGTTAGGATCATGCCATATCTCAAGGTAAATGTAATTGAAATAGTGAATATGATCATCATTACCTCCCTTCCTTATGACAGATTGCTAGAAGAGGAGGATTTCATCTTTTATTCTGGTTCTGTGTATGCACATGTATAATCCCAAGATATTCCCTTTCTTTTTTATTATCTAAATTAATATTTTTGATATTTTACGTGGAAAGTGTCATATATTAAATTTTCACATTTCCACTCTATTCCTTAGAGACATTATGGTATCATTGTCCTTCACTCACCTAAATTCAAATTTATCATGAAGTCTGCTTGCATAATATTCACTTCAAAGGACAATTTGGTGATTGCATAATAGTTACAGAAATGAAGTTGCCACATTAGATTTAGGTGGCGTTTATTACATATATTACTACAGAGCTTATTTTGACCAATAAAGGTCTCACCTATACCATTAGCATGATATATGGTAATCTTCCCTTTTAGATGAAGTTTTTATGCTTTCAAGCAACCAAAGCAAGTGCTGGACTAATAAGTTAGAATCCCTATGAAGGGCAACTAAAAATGGGTATTTTTGCATGTGTCCCTTGAATGCATATATATTTGGACTTAATAAAGGATTCTGGGGTTTTCTTAAGGAATTGAGCATCCCAAGAACAAGTTTCTAACAAGGTCAGGTGTATTGATCAATGTATTAATTTATATTGGTAGCATTTATGCTATTTTGAACATAATAGGTTTGCTTACTTGAAGTTGTTTGTAAGGTTTGCATTCGGATTAATTTTTATTTAGTGGGTTTGCCCCTTTTTTGTCAAATCAGTTCAGTTTTTTAAGGCTTAGTTTTATAATGGTGGCATTTGTTTAAAAAAAAGACTCTTGCATTCAGAGTACTATTTCCAAATGAGAATGGAAGTGCATTATTCATACCCAAGTTTATATCAACTAGTGTCAAACCCCAAGAAAGTGAACAATGGGATTGACTTCTCGTATTTTTTTTTTCATTGTACAATATTATTGTAGTTGAGATTAGCTTAGGATTGGAGTATTATTTGGCTTCTAGATCTCCTTATAGAGACTCTGAAGGCCAGATATGCTTTTGTATGCTTAATACTAATGTATCCTATCCTTTGTAACTGATATTGAATGTATTTATTCATAGAGCAAAGAGGTAGGATATAATAAGGAGACCAATTACACTGTTAATTGTTCCTCTCCAGAAGAACAGTCAGTCTTCTTAGAGACAATCTTACAATCTCCTCTTGTCATCGCAGGTCCATCTAGAAGTGAAGAAAAGTCATGTGCTTGATAGGGTCACAGTTGCTGAGAAATTCATAGGTTGATGATGAAAGCATATATTTGGTGTGAGCTCATGTAGGACAGATGATTGTAGCACCTGTGATGATGTATGCAATCCAAAAAGAAAAGGTTGTACCTGACTCCAATTTGGTGATGGAGTCAATATGTTTGTGAACCAAAAAAATTTGATGCCAGGTTCATTGTTATTGGTGAGATTGTTATATTATATTGTGTGAGCCCAAAAAACGCACAGCTTTTTAAAAATTTGTGGTGCTTTTGAAACAGCAGCTAGAAGGACATGGTTTATTCATGCATACCTTTATGCATCCTTTGAGCACATAAACATTTTGGATCATTTATCTCTAGCTGTTTTAACATACGAGTGATTTAACAAAAGAAACTGGATTTTTATTTTGCATTGGCACCTGGATGCTGATGGGAGGACCTGCCCAACTCACTAGGAATGGCAATTCTTTTCAAGGGTTTTTTCCCCTTCTTTTCAGAATCAGCTGAACAGATCTAGGATTTGTCCTTGCATCTGGCAATTTGCAGATGGGAATTTTGCATCCTAGGATTATCATTATTATTAATGACATCTTCCACATGAAAGCAGTTCTCTTGAATTCCAGCTTGTTCTTAACTTCTGCTCCTTCTCTTCCTCTCAGATAAGCTCATTTCTCACAGCTTGTGAATCAATCTCATGAACTCTTAAGGAATCTCAAAGAACAGTGCATTTTTTGTCTCACCTGGTATATTTTAAAAATTATTAAAGGAATTTCTGAATACCATAGGATGAGGGAGAGAATGTTGATATCATCCCCAGTGGAGAGCATGGAGAACCAGGGCAACCAGCTAAACGGATCACAACACCTTATATGACTAAGTGAGTTTTAGTGACAGAACTTATTTCTGATGGAGGGGAATGTTTGGGTACTCAAAATGTTTCCATCTTTATATGGAATAAAATGTGCTTTGTTTTAATCAATTTTATACAGGGGGGTCTCCAAAAATATGTTAATACTACAAGAACTGATTTTTCTTGTACTATATTAAATTAGAATGGAAAGATTTTATGGCAGTTAAAAGGAGAAGAGATTAAGCTTCCTATTGTTGAAGATGGTGCAAAAATCAATGAACTCAGAAGTGAGATATAGAAAGACAAACTTCACATTAGCAATATTCAGACATGCTGGTGATCACTTCAAACAGCCTATATAAGAGAATTCAGCAATGCAAGCCCTTCTAATGTTAGTGATCCACAGGTGTACTGCCAGGAGACTCTTCACTCTATTGCTTGTTCTTTGGCAAAAATGCCACAGAATTCATTGAATGAAAGAATCTTCTTGTTGACCCATCTCTCAATCTCACCTTGCACACCTTGAATGCACATTGAGGATAACTTGAACATGTCCTTGAGTGGTATGTAAATCTCCTTTAGTCTTATTTTCATTCTCATTTCAGAAATGGTCAATTCTCATGTGGTTTTCAGCAGAAGAAATCTTAACTCTTTCAGAAGTTTTTTAACAGAAGAAATCTCTTTCTAACTAGAAAAAATGGTTTATTCTAGGTCAACGTAATTCAAGAAAAACTCAATATTACAGCTTTAACTTTTTTTTTGAACACCCTGTATAAGCACCAAGTGCAAATATCTTTGATTTCACAAGTCATTTTCCTACTCAATTTCTTCATCCAAGTGTTTAGTAGGTGACTGAATAATGGGAAGTGTGAGAAAATGCTGTTTGATGAAATGGTATTACTTGAAGAGCATGATACTTAGGACATGTCATACATTTTGCTAAATGTTTGATAAAATCCTGACTTTCATGTTTTTTTGGGCAGAACTCACCTAAAAAAAAATTTTAACTTTGATTCACTCATGAAATCCAGAAGGAATCCAGAAGGAAATACCAAAAAGTGGTGAAATTTTTACTCTTTGTTAATACAAGAATTACATGTGCAGTGATATCAGTACTGTTTCTGAAACACTCTTTCTATCACAACTAGTTTGGAACTTTTTGATTGGCTCCTGGAAGCACCCATCACAGAAGAGCGTGGAGTAGTCCTTGAAATATTTAAAAATGATGTCATTTTGCCTTTCAATTTTGGAAGATATGAGCGAGCAAGGGTTCTTGGTGCTAGAGCCTTGCAGATTGCAATGTGTGCCCCCATCATGGTAGAGCTGGAAGGTGAGACAGATCCTCTTATGATAGCCATGAAGGAGTTGAAGCAGCGCAAGATCCCCCTTATCATCAGACGGTGAGTTTTCTTGACTGGTAATAACTGGCAGTAAAGTTCCAGGACTGATTTTTTTGTGAGTCTCTCAATATCGCAAAAATTATTTTCATTCCATGGACTGATAGATTAGACTGTTGGGCAGTGTTCTGTCAGCCCTCATCTGACTAGCATCTTGAATGAGAGTTTGGCTGGCAATGTAGCAGCTCAGTGTGTAAGGTGTCTGTCATATTCCCAGAGTGAAGCAATGCTTCATCACATTTAGTCTCAAACTGATCTATACAGCTGCAGTAATCCATGAAACATTGCTGAAGTGTCTTGAAAAGTTCCTTGTTATGCTCCAATAATTTTGAATGACCTTCAAGGTCTTTAGCAAGTAGTGAAGACACTCAGATCTACCTCAACCCCAACCATCACCAACTATTCACCCAAGGGATGGCTGAATCAGTCATTATTTTCAATGTCATTTCTACTGGCTGAAAACCTTGAAAACTATTCAAGATTCTTGGAGTATGATGAGACAACTTGTCAAGTACTTCTTGCAACATTTGATGGATCACTGGTGCGGTATTCCTGGATTGAGACAAAATGTGATGAAGCATTGCTTCACTCTGGGAATATGACAGATGCCTTACACACTGAGCTGCTACATTGCCAGCCAACCTCTCATTCAAGATGCTAGTCAGATGAGGGCTAACACAACACTGCTCAACAGTCTAATCTATCAGTCCTGGAACTTTATTGCCAGACCTCCTATGCTGCCTCTTGATGGGATGTATTTATTGCTATTCATCATATGACTTGGAGTTGATGTATTTTCCAGTTATTTGCCAGATGGTTCACATGAGGACTGGGGCATTGATGAACTCATCATCACAGATTGGTGAAACCTTTGCATTTGCCAATGTTGTGAATCTTTTTGTGATAATTATCTTAACTTTCATAATAAAGTCTTCCTTGACTTTTAACATGTAGGAGTGTCATGTGTTTGTATGTGGGAATTTTGTTCCACTTTGTGTTCCACTACTTATTAATGACATGTATAACTAATTAGGCCATTTGCTTTTCATTGCCTAATTTTGTGCATTTCATCATGAGGATCACCATCCTAAATGGAGTATTTCTCACAATTTGACTTGAAATTTGCAAGTAATGGCAGGGTAATGGACCATTTTGTATTGTGAGCATTTGAACAATTGTTAACAATAGTTCTTAATCTAAGAATTTGTTTGAGGACAGCAATACATTTAATCAAGTCAACTTACATATAAATGATGTAAACAGAGAAATATGAGGATATGAAATGTTAGATGATAGATGCAATGGATAGTGAACCATCATATTCAGTAAGTCTGAGTCACATGCTAAGTATAGATCTTTAATCCACTTGCTCTGAGACCCAATGTCTCATACCTTCATCATAAATGCCACCAACCTTGCATAATCATCCAAGTTCCTGTACCTTCTACCTGATCTTCTATTGCTTTAATGATCAATTAGAAAATGGAAATTCTGCATTCCAGTGCAAGTATTAACTTAGGTTTCTGGCTTTGATACTTCTACTCCTGCTGAATATGACCAATGCAGTTGACTGAGTTGCCTTTTCTGACTTTGGCACAAGTGGGTTATTGTACTTTAACTCAGGCTTGCCAATTGCAAGCTGTGGTTTGAAACCACAATTGAGCTAAACTGTGATTTAAATGTGCTTCCATTACATAACAATATTTTCCATTTTCAGGTTTTTTCTATAAAGTTTTATCGAAAACAAAATTAATGATTGACTGCCCTTACGTTGGCATATCCTTCTTTTCATTCTTCTCATGCACAGAATGGTGCCTCCAGTCATCGCTCCTGAGAATCTGGCAAGTCTGGTGGTGGAATGGTTCCAGGAGAAAAAATTTCTCATTGGATTCATCATTGGGCAGGTCCTCATCTCCAACTATTATTTTGCTAATGTTAATTGACTGATTGATTTATTTAATTTGTTTTCATCCTGTTAGATGTTTGAACATTACCATATGAAGAGAACTTCAGGTAATCAGCATTTTGCTCATCTGTACAAATAATTTTGTGGGATCACAAGGAGGAAGGTGCAAATGAGAAACCAGACAGAAATTATCCCATATGTAGCAGTTCTGAAAAGAAAATGGATTCTTTCAGCCTCTACCTTTTTTGTTTTTATTCTTCAATGCAGAATTCTCCTATTAATTGGATCTAAAATGGAAGGTTCATGGACATGCATATTTCCAGGCCTTATTGCCTCCATTCTTGATGAATTGAAATAAAAATCCAGCTGGCCTCTAAAAGGTTACCTTTTTTTTTTCTTAAATGTACTGTTGCCAACAGTTGCAGCTTCTACCATGTCAGCTGGTGATTTATTCCATGCTCCAAATATATTTTAGGTATAGAGTTCCTATTTCAATTCCTTACATTCAACTGGGTTCACTTGACATGGCTGAGTGCAGGCTATCTTGATTATAAAAATTGATTTTTGATAAATTAATGCATCATTATGAGTGCTTCGTAATAAAAAAAATGGTGCCAATATATTTTACAAGGTGCTTGTTCACTTCAATGAATCCTATGTTCTTAATTTATTTGAGCTTGTCCAAGTATCATACATATTTACCTTGCTTGCAAGTCAATCTTCGTTTTAACCTTTCCCTAGTGTGCTACTACATTGAACCAATGAAGCTAACCATGGAAACTGTATTTTTTATATCCTGGTCCCTGTCTAAAATGAACCTCGATAACTCATTCTAGTTGTATGAGTTAGTTGCTCTAGTCAGACATGGGATACCCTTGCCTAAGGTTTGATCACATTCTGTTTGGCTTCCAGCATGCACCACTTCATTTTAATATTTAATTTTTAAATTAAAACATCCTATACTGTATTTGGAGGAAAAAAAAAGAAGTCCGTTGCTCAGGTCGTTTACCACTACGCTCTGCTCCTGGTCAGACCTTAGAGCAGTGGTTCTCAACCGGTGGGACGCGATGATCTAGCTGGGTCGCAAGAGAATGAAAATAAAAGAAAATTGGTGAGAGGTTAGAGAAGGCTGAGAATTCAGAGCTGTATTACATGAGCTAAGCCTTCCGGGAACGATCTAATCCCATCTAGATTGGAAAGTAGCACACGGAGAAGACTTCCTGGCAAGCGATTCGGAAAAGAGCAGCTATAAGTTATCATTTAAAATAAATCTTGCTCTTAACCTTCATCTCCAGTTAACGTCAGTTCCAGCATTCTCTGGTTCCTCGTTGTTGTGGTTAGGGGAGACACTTTTTTGTGGGAAGAATTCGAAGTTTGTATTCTCGATTACGTTTCTCTGCTACCTGAACTGAACGGATACATTTCCTTTTTTTGAGAGGGATATAAGTTCATCTCGTCCATAATTTCCGATAGTTACTTATTTAGGTTCAACAATGAAATGCAGATTGAGCGTTTCCTGAGAAAACCGAGTGCATGCGCTGGTACTAATAGTAGCGCCTCTGGTGAAGTCACTGGGAAAAAATTAGAATTCCCCAAAGAAAAAAGGAGTAAAAACTAGTACCAATCCGGAAGCATAATGATTCATGACTTCAGTGTGGTTTCATAAGGTCAGAAAGTTTGATAACAGAATGCATAATTTGTGGCGAACTGCTTCCCAATGCATCCATGAAGCTTTCAAATTTGATGCGGCATTTCGATCGAAATCAACAAACATTGATGAAGTCAAGTTCTTTTAAGAGGACGCTCAAAGAGGTAAAGTAGCAAAGGAATGATGAAGGAATCACTTATTCCCGTATCAATATATTCAAAACGTAATTTCCGTATTTTTAATATTCAATGAGTGGTTTTCGCGTCACACGGCTACTTTTTTCTGGATGTTTTTACATTTGTGAGTCGCGTAAGTATGGGAAGAAGGCTTGATGGGTCGCGACATCAAAAAAGTATAGAACCACTGCCCTAGAGCAGGGGTGTCAAACATACGGCCCGCGGGCCGGATCCGGCCCGCAGAGGTGGTTCATCCGGCCCGCCGTCTGCTTCTGAAAATTTCCGCATGGATTGAGTGTCAGCATAAATTTAAGTGAAATTTTATGGGTGCGGCCCGCAGGCATCTGCAGGGTAAGGAATGCGGCCCGCCGACCGATTTGAGTTTGACACCCCTGCCCTAGAGCATGGTGCCGATAATACATTATAGCCAGTGGCAGGCCGACCGATAGGTCTGTGCGTAGCTCGACGGGGCCCGACGCACCCGGAAACAGGATTGCCCGGCCCCGGTGGCCAACTTTTCACCCCGGAAACAGAATGACTATTATGGTCCTAATTATCTTGGGTGATGACCGAAACTCCATGGCGTGGAATAAATTCGGCGAAGAAATGGAACCCGCCTACCGCACTTCTAAAAAGGTGTTCTGGCAAACCATTCGAAGGCTTCGGCAAGGCACCATACTCTCCGGGTCGCGAGAGAACGAAACGGGAAGGTCCTGGCTGCCGAAGCGAAAACACTTGTAAGGTGAAGGGAACAATTTTAGGAGCTCTTAAACCCACCCATGGCGGACTGAGATGTATCATGCTCAGAGTGTATCTGTGCGGAGAATAGTCGCACTGTGGATGCAATAAAACAGGCGATGGCTAACTTGAAGAATGGAAAGTCTACTGGCGTGGATGAAATCCAGGTAGAGGCACCGAAAGCTATGGGTACTCGTGGTTGCATGTGGCATGGTAAACCGCGTTGGAATCGGTTACGGCACTTATGGATTGGTAGATGGGTGTGGTAGTTCCTGTTCTTAAAAAGGGAGACTCAAGGGAGTATACCAATTACAGTGGAACCACTCTCCTCGACATACCTGGTAAGGTCGATGCCAATATACTTGTAAAAAAAAATGTGTGCAGCCGTTGGAGAAGCCATCCAAGAACTGTGCAGTTTTCGCGAAGGGCGCGGCACCACCCATCACTTCATTCCCCACCAGACTTTCGAGAGACATTAGGAATATGACAAAAGCTTACATGTGTTTTGTAGATCTCGAAAAGGTGTACGACCATGTACTTCGAAGGAAGCTGTGCGGAGTGTTGTAAAAGTATGAGGTTAACGGTCTGGTAATGCGGGCCATACAATCCTTAAAAATTGATTACAGGAGCTGCGTTCGGCTTAACGGAGTTGGACTCGTTCCCGGTACGTGTTGGACTCTCGTCAGGGTTGCGTTCTATCTCCTTTCTTGTTCTTCGTGTACTTGGATAGGATAGGTAGGGGTAGCTTGGGCCTCGAGGGTGTCAGCATCGGTGGTATCGAGAAAAAGATTATTCTCCTTGCCTACGATGCCGTCCTTTTGGCCCAATCTCGGCAGGAGCTTCAGAATATGCGTGATCGGTTCGACTCCTAATTTACTGCTCCCGGAATGAAATTGAGCTTCCCCAAAGAACAGGTTATGGCCCTCGAGAGAGTTCCTGGACAGTGCGCCTTTCACGTTAGGGGGCTCCATTGGAATTGATGGATAAGTTAAGTACCTTGGGGTCTGGTTCTCGAGTGACGAGCAATACGAAAACGAGATTGACAGCCGCTTTTCCAGGGCCTCTGCGGTTTTGCAGGAAGTCTGGACTGTGGACTGTGGTTGATACATCTGACATTGCCAAGGAAGCGTAACTCGGTTAAGAGCGTTTACCTATCCACCCTCACCTATGGTCACGAACTGTGGAATGACTGAAAGAATTAGGTCGCGGATACAAGCTGCCTCGATGAGGTTCTTAAGGCGGGTAGTCGGTTTCACAAGTCGGGAGAGGATGTGGAGTGCCACCAGTGCTACTTCTCTGGATCGAGAGATCCCAAACCCGTTGGTTTGAATACGTCTCCCACATGCCTCCCGAGAGACGAACAAAGAGAGTCCTCCAATCCAAAATGACCAGCAGAAGACCTGTCCGTAGGCCCCGTTTAAGGAGGTCGGACTACATAGCGAACCTATGCCACGAGGCTCGATATACCACCTGCCGTGCTCGAGTCCGTTGCCCAGGATCGCTAACCCAGGAAGGTGCTCCTGGGCCTGCTCGAACCACAACCCCATTAAGTTGGGATAGGCGGTTTTGAGCATGTAAATTATGAAAAACAATCTCTCAAATACCTGAAAATATTAGTTCAGAGCTTTCGAAACCAGCAGCAATTGTGTTAAATTAGCTGCCTGGTTTTAAGGAGTAAAAAGGAGAGAAGCAGTGCATGAATTAATTAAAATAGATTAATTTAAAATATATGCTTGAAACTCTTATCTTAGGTCATCTGATGTACCTGATTTATATAGGTGACGAAGCAGAAGGTCTATGCTGTTCACTTGTGCCCAATGGCTCCTGAAGGAGACAACGAGGATGAAGGAGAAAAGAAAAAGAATACATGCTTGAAGTTGGCTGATGTGAAGGATAAGCTCTTCAGTATTAATGCTAAGCAGGTAAGTATTCATTATACAAAGAAAAAATTCTGTATAAACACTTGCACTATGTGTGAGTTTAGATACTATATATCTGTTATGGTGTATTTCTTATGAAATTATTTTTCAGGTTCTACGTTGCATGCCTGGAGGTTTCAGTATTCTTGGAATATTCTGGAGCAGTGAAGGAGACTTTTGGAATAAAAAAGGGAATGCACCAGAATTAGGGAAATTGAGAAGTCTTCTCTCTGTTATTTCTAAACTAGAGAAGCATCAGCCATGGAGCTCTGATGTAGTACATCCATTTCCAGAGCTGCTTCTCAACATTGACAAGACATCTACCAGGTAGGAAATGCCACTGATTCTTTAATTGTACTTCATGATTGTTGTGAAGACTTCCCTTCAAATGGACTTGAAAAAGGATAGACCTTTTCTCTCTTCCTAAGATTCTCATGTCGCACCCTGGACTTGACCACAATGGTATCTTCACCTCATCCTGTGGAGTGGAAGTTTCATCACACTCCTACTAGGTGGCAGGTAGTAGAGTCCAAAGTCACAGTAGATTGGAAGTTTCACACTGGACATTTGATGGAACCTTCTGCTCTCATGAAGAGTTTTACGGTCAGTTTCATATTCAGGTGAATCTTTCAATACCAGTGCAGTAAACCCTTGCTTTGCTAAAAAAAAAAAACAAAAAAAAACAAAAAAACGAATAGGATGTTTTGGAAGTGGTGGCAGACTGATATGGGGTGGATACAATCACAAAGGCTATATTACGTTAAGCATACACCATGTATGAATCAAGCCTGTACTAGTGCCCATCCAATCAAGCCCAGTAGCTAATGGTAAGTTTTATGGTTTGATCAGTAATATGCAAACACCCGGGCTTGTGAAAAATCAGATGGTCTGACGAGTGAAAGGTAAACAATGAAGCACTCCCTTGTCTTGTGAGACTCCATCACCTACCTCCCTACTCTTTCATGAGAGTTCCTATCACCCCCTCTCCTGTGTCAGCAGTATGGATCTGCAAAAGCTGAAAATTCTGTTTTAGATGCCACTTTCTTTGCATATGGTTAGATTAGGCAATCTGATTGATGTCTTGACCAAGGACTTTGAAAATTTAGTTCTGATGACCAGTAAAACCTTCATTCCTATTTGTATGAAGATAAGGAGCAACCAGGCCTTAACTGTTTCCAGACAGGCACAGTGAAACACCACATAGTGATACATTCCCTGTCACCAGTCTGGAAAGTGCTAAGAACTGGATAACCTAGTAAAAACATTCATGTGTGTATTTGCAGCATTAATTTGAGTTTACTGACTACTGAAAAAGTATTGTATGTACCCCACGTTGCTGGTTAGGGCAACTTTCAAAAGGTGTGAGGGAAAAAAATCAAGGATTTTATTTCTGATACATTTTCTTAGATAGGTACCATTGGATAGTAAAACTTGCCTATAGAAACATGTTGCCTGATGGATGAATTGTTATTTAATACTTATGGTGTGGGTTACCTGCAACCTGAAAATTTTTATTTGATGGAGATAGGGTGTGCAGAATTTCATAGCAAGTTTTCTTTCCAGCAGAAAGAAGAAGCTTTCATATGGTTCATTTTCTCAGTACTTGGCTGGGTTATTAACAGAATACACTTTCACTTTGGGAATCAAACTTTTGATTCCATTATGCAAGGAGGTTAACCCACTTACCTAGCTGTTGAATCAACAGCCTGACATTACATGCAATTGGCTTACCCAATCCTTGTTTCACTGGTCTCGTGTCAACTTTTCTATTGGTATGATTTATGTCCAACATTACTGCACTTAGTTAGTACTCGTGGCTAATTATTAGTGTGTAAGTGTTGTAGCAAATTTTCATCAAATTAAATGGTATTTTACTGGTAGTTCCAACAAATAAAATTGGCAAATGGATGGGTTAAACTTGTGCAAAATAGGGGAGTGAGTTCTTTACAATTTGAGGAATAAACTCAATGTCTCAGGTTCATTCCACAAGATGTCTCAACAGAAAGTTCAGTATTATCAGGAATTTATTATTATCATCAAAAGTACCTTTGATAACTCCTGCTTATAAGTAACCTTTGGGGCCATTCACAAATTATGTAATGCAAAGGGGGGAAGGGGGAAGCAGACAAAGTGTTACAATTTGTTGCAAAAAACTTGTTATGTCACATTCATGCAACAAATGGGTTGCACGAATGTGACAACAGGTTTTTTTCATAAAAGTAATATATCATGAGACTGGAATTCTTATTAGAAGGGTAATTGTTTAGTAACAAATCACTTACACGATGCAGAGCCAACCCTACTACCCACCTGCACCCACCACCCTTACTAACAGTGGAGTAGGTATTGGAAGTGTGGGAACATCTGTTGACTTCCCTCTCCCTTGTTTGCAAAGTTGCAGTTTCATGCCTGGACCTGCCCAGACAGGCCAAACAGGCTCAGTTACCCTTTGGACGTTGCCCTCATTAATCTCTCTCTTGGCATTGCAATCTCTATTCTACCCTACATTTCCCCATCTCCTTTTACTCCTTTTTTTTAAATCTCAAATGGGTGATCACCATCAATCAAAAGGAACAAAGACAAATGAAAATTATTTCCTGGAAGAAGGAACCAAATGAAAATAAAGAACTTTTTCCTTTCATTTTTTAAACATTTTAATCATCTCTCAATGTGTGTAATCTAGAGTGTTAGTTTTGAGTGTTTAATAAATGAGTTTCTTTTTCAAATGCATTTTACTTGTTTATTTATCTGATTAAAAAAAAATTATGAAGGAGGGGGGGGGTCATATTTTGCCACAATTTTTTTGGGCAGTTGAAGCTTTTGTTACTGAGTTACAAGGGGGAGGAGGGGTCAAAAAAGTTCTAAATTCATGTTACATAATTTGTGAATGGTCCCTCTTCTTACCTTTATGCTCAGAATCTTCCAGGGAATTTTGGAAACAGGTTTTTTCCTGTTGGAGTTTGGATTTTGAATATAGGACCCTTAGCCGTGATATGCCAGGAGGAAGGTCACAAAATTCTGCTAATAACATGCATTAGTATTTCTTAGAAAAGGCAGAAATTCTCTTCAGAGCATCAGGGAAAATTGAGGTTTACATGTTCTTAGTTAGAAATTTTTACTCTGTAAAATTTGAAGATTCCAGAAAAAAAAAGTTCAGGTGTGGGTTATTGATATCATTAAGGGTTTATAGAATGAAAATTGTACCTGGTCATTAGGATATGTCGTCATAAGTCAAGTATTCAAAAGGAACTTTGTAGCTGAGTCTGCCCCATAGCAGACTCCTATTATTGCAAGCTTTGGCTCCACGGTTGAGGCAAAGCTCCCTTTTATTCTTACACTTCTTTCACTCAGGGGGAAGGTAAATCTCCAAGCAAGGAGCTGCCACTCACAGAGCTCAAGCTTTTTGCATTTTTTCCCATCAGACTTGGAGCTGTGGCTTTAATTCAGCTGCGTTCAAGCTCACTTTTATTCATATGGGCTGTTGTCAGAAAAAAACTAAATACTGGATCTGAAAAAGATGGAAATTTGACAAAATTTTCAAGGGAAACACTTTATGGTGTAGAGACCCTACCACTTACTTACTTAATGTTAGTGTACCAGATAGGGTTTCAATAATGTAATGCTAGATGCTGGAACTGGCAGAAGCCAACATGTGCAGGAGCCAGATCCATGTAGTTGCACATGCATGCTATTTCTTTTCTTCAAATGCAGGTTGTACCAATATACAATATGAGCATCTATAGGTATCATTCTCCAATCTGGCATCATTGGTACCATTAACAGGTTTTTTGCTTAACTGTCTGAAATTGGTCTGCTATATCTGGTTGTTCATCATTGTGTCTAAAAAATATGTCAGAGGGGATTTCATCATGATCATAATTATTTTCTAAACCCTTTCATGGCTGAATTAAGGAGCAAATAGCTAGGATCTTTTTCCAAAAATTTTCGTCATTCAAGATTTTCAAGATTCAAGATAGTGATATCAAGAGGCGATTTCACCCATTTCGATATCACATGTCGAGGTCGAGCGTTCCCTAATTTTAAGGTAGGCCTAAACCCTCTTAAAGCTATATATATATATTTTTTACTATCCTAGTTGCTTACTGTCTAGTACCTAACGTCAACATTGCCCCCCACCTTTTTGCCTGTCCATGAAAACATCTAGTTTCTTCTTAAAGATAGTCACAGAAGGGGCAGCCAATACTTCGTCATCTAACGCATACCACAGGTTCACCACTCTGCAAGTAAAGATATTCCTGTCTCGACCTGAGCCGCACCTGCGGTTTGCGCAACTTAAGTTGGTTACCTCTCGTTCTCTTGCTTTCATCAAACTGGAAAAACCTACCACACTCGACATTATCTATTCCTTTAATTATCTTGAAAGCCTGGATGAGGTCGCTCCTCCTTAACCTTCGTTCGAGCGAGTAGTCCCAACATTTCTAAAAGCTTCTCGTATGATATTCCCCTGACCTCCTTAATCATTCTTGTGATCCTCCTCTGTACTCCCTCGAGCGCCAACAAATCGCCCTTATTTGTAGGCCTCCAAAACTGGATGCAATATTCCAACTGAGGTCTTATCAGCGCCGCATACAACGGAAGAATAACGCGCGATGTCCTACTTGCAACCGAACGACGAATGTAACCTAGAATCCTGTTGCATTTGGTCACCGTCGCTTGCGCGTGCGAGGAAAACTTGAGGTCCTCATCGATAAAACTCCTAAATCTCTCTCTCTGTTTGCCTCAACCAATTTAACATCGCCGAACGTGTCGAGAGACCTACCGTTATTTCGACCGACGTGGAGAACTTTACACTTTTATTAAACCTCATGAGCCGTTTCATGCTCCACTCGTCCAAAAGATTTAAATCTCGCTTGGCTCGAGCCCTATCCGCCTCCCCCCTTATGGTAAAACCNAGTATGCTCTCCATCATCTTCCCTGAGATACTCGTGAGACTTACCGGCCTGTAATTTCCTGGATTACTCTTTTCGCCCTTCTTAAAGATCGGTACGACGTTTGCTCGTCTCCAGTCCTGAGGTACTTCCCCGCGCGAGAAGCTGCTATCGAATATAATTCTTAGCGGAACCGATATTTCTCTCGCGGTCTCCTTAATGAGTCTCGCAGGAATCCCATCGGGGCCGGTCGCCTTGCCCACCGCCAACTTCCCTATCATATTCACGATCGTCTCCTCGGTGATGGAAATATCCTCGTAGCGAGCCGAGGTCACCTCCAAAGTCGGTGCCGAGTCGGATTCCACAGTGAAAACGGAAGCGAAGAACTCGTAAAGTATACTAGCCATATCCTTATGACTTGCAATCAACTCCCTCTATTCGTTCATTAGCCATCATTTCGATCGACTGTTGACACCTACCACTAGCATACCGATAAAAAGCCTTAGGGTTTTTCTTGGCATCGCTAGCCAGCCGTTCCTCTCGCTCCCGTCTCGCAGATTCAATTTCCCGCTTCAACGTCCGTGTGATCCTCCTATATTCCTCATAGTCCGTGCTATCTCCCGTGCGTTTGTACGCATCCCATTTCCGCTTTTTATCTCTGATGAGAGCTTTGATTTTACCCGTAAACCAGACCGTCATAATCTTGCTTTGGATCTAATATACCCGAATAACAGCCTGCTTGAACAAGTTATGTATCTGAGAATAGCCCTCATTGAGAGCCATCAAACAGTACTATTTAAAACCAGTTTTACAAGTATTGTAATGCAAGAGCAGTCTCAAAATATATAATCCTTATAATGATCATACACCATGAAAAGGTTAAATTTCTTGAATAAGTCTCATTTTTCATTGCAATATATTCAGGTAGGAATGGAGCCCTTCATGGAAAGCATAGCAAAAGCTATTTGCTTGTTTAATGGAGAATTGAGGGATGAAGATGAAATTCTCAACACCGACACAGGGAAGAGGTTGAGTCGGCGCAGAGGCAGTGATGAGATCCTATCCCCTATCAACGTTGATTTCCTCATAAAACCTGCATTTTTGGTGGGTCTATTTAAACTCCTGAGATTTTTTGGATAGATGCAGGAAGTATTCCAAATTACTACATTTTTTACCTTTCAGGAGAAACATGGAGAGGTATGTGGTGAAGAGCAACAGAATGTTCCATGTGGAATGGGTTTTTGGATGAAAGTACAAGGAACTCTCTGTGCCAGAGCATATCTTCATTCCAAAGCTACTATTTCTGAAGCCCTGGAAGTCAGTTCTACTTTGCAATGTTCCTCCATCATACTCTATATTATGTGAAAGAAAATGGCAAACTTTATGAAATGGCTTTATCTACTTCCAGTACTTAAAGAGGGATGTTATCCTCACACTGGCTCATCGATGGCAAATGCATTGTGATTCTCTTTTGGAAGACATGGATGGGACTGAAGGTGAGGAAAATATGGAAAGCCCTTCTTTATTATCCTCATGAGATGATGGGAATTTCTTTTTCCTTGATCAGAAGATATGGTGCTGCACGAACCTCCACGTAGAATCTTTGTTCCAATATCTGAAGGAAGCCAGATTTGTTTCTGTGATTACATTTATCCTGAGGAAACAGGAGGGGAAGTTTGTTCTTCCTTGTCAGAGCTCCTGGGAATCCCACTCAATGAAGACTCCATTGACATGGATTCAGAGGTTCCACCTTCTCAAGGTGACAGACAATTTCATCCTCATTTAATCACTATTCTTATTACAGCGACATGAAATGCCATAAACATATTTCTAGTGGAGGAAGGTGCCATGACATCAAGTGATGGAGAGGAAACAGCTTCTGAAGCAAATTCAGTTCATGTGATGGCAACAACAGAGACAAAGGGGAATAGTGTATTCATCCTTGGATCAGTGCTGGCCTGTCTCTTTGCTCTTGCTGCAGCCTTCTTTGTTTCCCAGCAAGCAAGTCACAATGGGGAGTTGACATCTCAATGACATTGTCAGATGTGGCATGTTTTGTTCTGGAATCTGGAGTATTTTATTCTCTGACACGTATATTGCATTCATTCCGAGAAGATGATATTTCAGAAGTGACCAAGTCATGTACTGCTATTTATTTCATGGATAGACCATAATGACTAATTTGGCTGTGGTACCATCATCTATGTTACTATGGTGGCAAGAAATCAAAAAACCAAAAACATGCAGATAGATTCATCCATTTGATGAATATTCTGTGGCAAAAGTTCTGCTGAAACAATGCCAATAGAATGTGTTTGAAATGCTTGCTGACAACATGATTCCAAGATCTATTGACACTCTTAAAAAATGTGCTCGGTTACTCTCTTTCTCTGCAAAACTTTTTTTGAGGTCTAAGTGTCAATTGGCATCTATTTTCACAACTTTCCTACTGAATTTGAATCTCGGTGATGCATATATTGGGTGGTGCATAAATATCTCCCAGGTTTGCCTTTCATGTTATGGCAGCTGGCCATACATTTCTCTGGTGTGCCTTCTCTCTAACTACAAGTATATCATCCTGGAGATTACTAAGCAATGGAGCATTGTTCAATGAAGGGCCATATGAAGGCAGTGGAGCACTTTACCTAAACTAATTCACTTGTGGCAACCCAGCAGGCATTCAAACTTGAACTCAACTGGCATGATGCCCCCTCTTACAAGACCATCATGGCCTGGGTGTCTAAATGGCAGGAGACAGGCTTAGTTCATAACATGCCACCACCTGGGCACTCTAGGTCAGTCTGTACACCAGTGGCACTGGCAAAGGGACAAGCAGCAGTCCCCAGAGATTGACATGTTGGCTGGCCCAGGCAGTTGGAGTGGAGTAGACATCCATCATATGGATCCTCCTTGAGCAATTGCATTTGCACCTGTACAAATTGCATGTTGTGCAGGCACTTGGCAATGATGATAAGCATGCAGTTTTGCACAGAATTCCTCTGCGTGCTGCAGGAGAATCTTTAAATTCTAATGTTGCTCATTACTGACAAGGCACACTTTGAGCTCAGTGGCTGAGTGAACAAGCAAAACTGCTTATATTGCCCATAACTTCCATATTCCCAGGCTGCTGTGGGAATATATATCAATGCAAAGTCATGTTCCCTGAGTCTTTTATTTATACTTGAAACCTAGGTCTTGGCTTAAAAACTGCCCTGTAACTTTTCTATGGGAGAAGGGACTGATAATAAGTGATTGACAGGGCCAGATTGAGAAGTTGCAAGGTCCAAGGAAAGTGGATTCTTGAGGCTAACCCCCCTGCTACATTATGCAAATATTTAACGTTTTTGATTTCCTTTGGGGGGGGGGGGACCCCCCCTGGAAGAGTGGGGCCCAGGGCAACAGCCCCCTTTGCCCCACCCTTAATCTTGTCATGGTGATTGACATCAGATTAGACAAGTTGTTGGAGGTAAGGATAAGACTTTTATCAATACTCTTGTCTGAACCATACAATGCTCCATTACACACTTCACAGGTGTATAGCAATCAAGCAGAGAAAAATTGGCTCATTTCAATTGTGTTAATGGTCTGCGCTTGACCATCTTGGAGAGCAGCGCAATTTGCACATGATGTATCATGACTTTCAGCCATGGCTGACACTGACATTTCCATGGGTTAGCTATTGCTTGCAGGAGGAACTGGTAGGCAAGGGGCCCATTGGCCGTGAGGTTCCCAACTATTTTTCATGATGACCTTACTGGTGACATCTGGCATGAGTGCATTGCTTGGCAAATCATCTGGGAAACCTATGAGACGTGTTTAGAGGAAGATAATATGGCATTTAGCACAAAAGTGTAAGTACAATGCAGTTTTGATTTCCAGAGAAGCTAGACAATGAAACTAAAAGTTTCATGGTAGAGTAATTTATTCTTGAAAGATCATGCATGAGAACTTCACTTCACAATCAACTTCTTTTGCTTGAGAAGTGCATTTCGAAGGGCAATCTAGAAAATAAAAATAAAATTAAAAACCAGTTTGCAAAAAAGGAGAGACAAATTCTGTAACAAACCTGTTTCTGTACAAAGCTTCGTTTATTTTTCCTCTTCAACTTCGGCCTGACCATCATGAATGGCTTCAACTTCTTCTTCTCCTTATTGGATGTAGATGCATTTGGGTTACTTCTCATGAGTTTCTTTGCAAACCCCTCTCGACCCTCCCTTCCAGCCTGAGGGAAACGAGACTGATAATTAGTGCTCTCTCCACAGACAACACCGAGACAGAAAGGAATGAGAAGCTCTCACCTCAATAGAGGCAAGACGGGCTTCCTTGTGATGAGCACGTTTGAGACCCTGAACCATGCCTATATCTTTTGTTAATACCAACCCAGGCCTATCAAGAGGAATACCAGATGTCCGGTGTTCAAACATAGTAATTAAAAAAATATATTGTTCATGAGGCACAAAACATACATTCTCCTTGATTCTTCATCTGAAGATTCCTCACTGGTGTCTTCTTCACTGGAATCACTGTCAGCTTGTCTCTTTCTTTTCCTGGGAATGGACTTTATACCTGCCATATGCTCTACCTTCGCCTTAGCAATTTTCTTGAAGTCTTCTTGTGACAGAATCTGGTTTTCTGACACCTCTCTTGCTTTCTCCTGGAGATTTTCACATAGAAATGAGGATCAAAAGACTAACTCCCATATATGGATGCAAACTAGGGGATTCCTCACCTTTGTTGGTCCCTCATCATCATCATCATCATCTCTCTGAAAAGAGAATAATCAAAATTTTTGCATCTTTAATATGAACCACAAGTCAACAATATGTATTAGGCAAACTTAGATCCATACCAAAACTCCAGCACCAGGAATATAGTCCAGAGCATTCAATGCACCATACTCCTGCTTTCCTGCTTGGTTTTCTTCAAGTCCTTTGGGGAGACCCTATCAGAATAAGCACCACTGTAATACATTTCTGGATCTAGGTGCTTCAAAGCTTTGAGTAAAAAATATTTTAAAATCCAATCTCACTCGATGTTTCTTATGCAGGAGGGCAGGATTGACCTCCCTAAATAATGTTATGAGGGATTTGGCAGCCATGGCAACTGGCTTTTCTCTATGTGACTTGTAGGCAGCCAGATCTTCCAGCAATTCTTCAGTCATACCTGAAGGACTCCTGGCAGAGATTTCTCTAATTGCATTTAAACTAAGAGAAGGGAGATAGGAACCAATAATTATTTGGAGGTCCATCAATTCAGAGGAACTTGGATTCATTGAAACCTACCCAACTGCCATGACTTCACTGCGATTCCTGTCAGTGACAAAATTATTGGCAATTGTCTTCAACAGAGCTTCAATCACCTGTTCAGAGAACAAGAAGAAAAAAAAGAGAAATCCTTTGGATGCCCAGTAATCCAATAGAAGTGAACACAAGACAACATACATCAGGAGGAACCAATGGATGTACTGCCTGAGCAGCAAAAGTCAGGAAGTGGATCACATCTGAAATGTAAAGGAAGAACTGCTCTGATGCAAAATAAAATTTCAGAGCATTTTCAAAAGACATGAACCATACCTTTCTGATGAGGTTGAAGGAACTTGTGAAGGAAGGGATAGAAGGAAAGGAGAAGCAGCTCATGTATTCCAACAAGTCGAGAAATCAGATTCACATGCATGAGCCTCACTTCAAATCTCTCATTACATTTCTCAAGCTGATGGAAGAGCTTCTCTGCAAATCCTGCACAGACCCCATGAAAATCAGAATTCAAGAGAAGCAAACTACCTCTTTGCCTTCATCTCAACAGAACATGATCAACCTTGAGGATCATGGAGAAGATGAAAGGCAGAAAAGTTGAATGCAGGGGCCTTCTTCTTGTTTTTTTGTTTTTTCACAGCTGTCTTCAACCTGCTGAGGAGCTTTTGACGCTTGCGAGACTTTTTATTTACTCGATTGGACCTGACCATTTCCTTTGGATTTTTTATTACTTCCTGCATGAATATAAAAAATCCATTCAATATCATCCAATTCACCACCACTATTCCCCAAGCTCTGAAATATCTTACTTCAGTTTCAGATTCAGACTCAGAATCTGGATCTTTCAGCTCAGGATCTCGCCCAAGAAAAAACTCTAATGCTGAAACCATGACCTGTTTGAGTCAAAATTCAGTGAAAATCATATATTTCTAGAAATGCTGCAATTTGACTAAGGTGAGCAAGTCTTGTTACTTACCTTTGTTACTTTACTGAAGCATGTTTCTGCAATAGTGGTCACTGTCTTTGCATCATGCCAGATATTTTTACGGTACAGTTCCTTCATCAGTTTCTAGATGGACATAATATATATTGACATTATCAGAAAGTTTAAAACACCTAAAGTAATTGATAAGAACCATGGCTACTACTTCAATAAAAGCAATAAACTGCATAACAAAGAAATAACTGACCAAAGCAGTTTTGGCTATGATGGTGTTGCTATCTCTCAGCATCCCAAAGACATAATTCTGTAATACCTGAAAGAAAAAGAACAAATATCATCCCCTACTCAAAGAACTTTACTGTTAATGCAGTAGAATATTCTTCTGTTCTAACCCCATTCATCTGTGAATTTTTCTTCTTCATGTTCAGCATCTTGATGTCATTCAAAATGTACCCAACAATGTACTCACGAAGCTTCCTATCTGGCAGGGGCACCAAGGTGAAGAACACCTCAGTTAGTCGAGCTGGAGACACTAGGTCTTTGTTTCGTAACATTACCAGGGCCTTGCACAGGGACTGCATGAAGGAAGACAAGAGAATGCAAATTCACCAATTAACTGTTCTTATAGCTACAAGACTGAAACAACACAAGACCATTCGTAAATCAGGTTGAAGAACTTCCAAGTGAAGGCGAAGCACATCAATGATGCATTGGCAAAGATTAACATCTTTGAGTTCCTCTGGAAAACAGTGAGCAACTTGAGCCAAGAAAAGCACCAAGGATTCAAGGTCTGGATGCTTAGCTTGGGGATTCAGAGCCATGATTTGCACCAGTGACTCGAAGTGATGCACCTGTTGCAAGAACTGCAACATGAAAGATGTTCCAGTTTAGTGACATGATAGTAACATAAATAGGAATGATGTCTTATGAGTGACATGATTTCACCTCATCTCGATATGATGGTGGATCTCTCTTGATGAGGTTCTGCAGCTGTGGAAGGTTATGAGGAAGCTGGTTGTTTCGTCTCTGTTTCATTGTTCTGGGAAGCTTAGCTAGTCACTTGATATGAGAATCAATGAGACCTATTATGCAATTCACATGCATAAGACTATCTCATTATTTGGAGAAAAGCACATCTAGCTGTGGTCAAAATATACCTGTCACAGTCTGGGATAGAGAAGCCCAAATTATATGCAAAAAAAGTCATGGCTTTATACCACCATCATTTGAATATTTACTCAAAATTACCAAATGCAATCAGTAAGGTAAACTGGGGTAATATGCCCCTTTACAATATTTCCTCAAACAGGCTGAAGAAATAATTTGAGTGGATTTAAAAAAATAGGACCAGGGAAGAGTATATGTAATAGTTGAAATGTTATGCCCTGTTTATCAATGCATAAAAAATGGCTTTTTCCCTGAATTCAAACCCAGGTTCTCTGCCATTCAAGCCACAGTCATAATCAACCATGCCACTCCCAGGCTCCTATTAAAGATGTCCACCACACGAGTAAGCAAAGGGATGTAAAGATTAATGCTGGAAGAAGGTTGGATGCATAATTTCTACTTGGAACCATGGCTCAGGAAGAGTGCATTGTTCAAAATGATATAATTTCTTTGTGTGTCCTCAATGCAGTTAATAAGGTCTTTTTCAACTGCTCAGCCTTGTTTAGGTTTTCCAGGTACTCCATATGTTCAAGTATTTATCAAACAGAATAAGTGATGAAAATCCACCCCTTACCTTAGCTTTGTAATTCATGGTTTAGGGATCTATGCCAATTCAAGAAGAAAATGCCCATTCACATTTTGAGACTGGACATTGGTATAATTTAATTGAAAAAGGCTGTTTGGATGACTGTTTATATCATTGAATTAAGTAACATGGGGGTAGACAAGGTCAGAATTTGTCCCACCAACCCTACCTATAAAAAAAAAACCTTGAGTTTTGTTTTTAGAGAAGTGGTCATATTTATCTGCCAATAAGAGTTATATGGCTTCATGGAATCAATTAGGAAAGGACCCAAATGCTAATTTCCAATGCATTTTCTTTTATGCATATTGTGGAGATTGAATAAAGGAGTCATCATTCAAGATATGTGGAATATAAGTGTAGTCAAAATTGGATTTGATGGGCCACTAAAACCAGGTTTCACGTTTTATGGTCATGTCTTTCAAATCACCCAATGCAATAAGAGAACCAGAAAGGCAAGATGGTCATCCAAAATCTGTAAAAATGAAAATATAATTTAAAAATTGGCAAATTCCTATAGGCATGATGTGACTACCTGAAGTGGCTATAAATAGCCCAACTCAAAATATGAGCTGTCAGACATTTAGGGAAATTCAGAAGCAAATCGAAACAAAAAACCTTTTCTTCAAGACAAAAACTGTCACCATGCACATGAGACAGTTTTGCCACAATGTTTGGAAATAAATAAAAAAAACTAAAGCATAAAGTACCATAATAATAAGTAAAGGACAAAATAACTGACAGTGACTGATATGAAAATGATGCACTCATGTGCATGATGCATTCTTGTGTAAGAGAACAACACAGTATGAGAAATGCAGTAGTGGATATACAGTAAGCAATAGTCTCCAAAAAAACACCCTGGTGACGTCAAGGGCTTCCATCACTTCTTTCTGCTTTTGCCAAGGGTCAATGTATGCAGAGCAGATGTGGATGAATGTGAATGGTGTTGACTTGCTTGAATTTGATTCTTCCGTTTTTGGAATTCAAGTATGTCTTCCTCATGCTTCTTCCTCGCCTCATCTAGGCGTTTCTTATCTTCATTATGCTTCCTCTTCAGGTTCTCAAACTTGGCATGAAGCTATGATGAAAAAAAAATTACTTGAATTTAATTTTGGCTGAATGGATTTATGAGAAGCATTTTTGACTTTGGGATATCTCCTAGACTTGTATCATGTGGTGTGTTCCAATGATCACATGAAGAAAACATGACATTTCTGTATTTTTTTTTTTATCTTTGTGCCAAGAATACGTACACCAGCAAAAAAATCCTTAACATAGCTTTTCAATTTATGTATTACATGAAGCTATACCATATTGAAATGATTGAATGCTGTAAATTTATAATCTAATGGTGGAATTTTAAACAGAGAACTATCTGATAATTAAGCTTTTTAGGAAATATAATATATTGTTCAATAATTCACACTAAGTTGGTTACATCCAAAATGTCACCATTCAATTTGCTATTTGTGCCAGCAGATTCAATCCAGAGACATTACATATATCTTCTTCCAGCTATGTGCCAATAAAAGTTGCCTTACTTTCAAGAATTTTCATGTAATTTAGCTTTAATTCTTTTGAAGATTGATAGTTACTTTCTACTCCTTAAAAAGGTAATGGTGACTTTCATACACATCAATAGGCAACTGGTGAAGACAAATTTAAAGGCTGAAAGGAAAAGTGATCTATATGGAAATTTTTCAGAAAAAATATTGTAGGTTTAGTGCTTATAGAATCTTCCATCAATTGAAAATGGAGTTTTTGGGAAGTATGTTAAAGATAAACTGGTCTATTCATGCACACCAATTTTCTTCACTTTTAACATGCAGTCACTGACTCAATCAAAGGATGGCTGACAGGTTGGTGGAAACTGATTGAATCTGCTAGAGGTCATTCAAACTTGAGGGTGTTGTTTCTGCGAGTATCCCCAAGCACTGATCTCATCACAACTTGGAATATTATTATAGTTGTTCTGGTCAATTATACACAGAGATATACCAGATTTGACCAATTACCATCATCCATACCCATTGAGGACAACCATCCTTTGCTGATGTTACCAAAACTTGAATGGCTCAAATTCACCATAAAAAAGAGTGTGGATTTGGGCATTTCACATGTAATCCTCTCTCCTCCACACAATACTTTCTCGAAAATTGTCTTAGCAGATTCATTAGATTTTGCACAACCCATCAGGATTTGTGATTTTTCTTTGAGTCAGAGATAGTGTGCTAAGAAGACAGATGCTAGAATATTCACTTCTTCCATGTTGAGGTTGAGAAAAGAACTTTATGCTGATAGACCACTTTTTCTTTCAACTTTTCAATTGTGTAGTGATTTTCATTGCCTCTTGAGACTCCTGGACCCATATATTTTACTTTTAGTTAAAATGTCAGTTGAATTTTGGCAAATATTAAGTGTTTAGAAAATCTTTGAATGGTGAATATGGTCACCCAATCATGGCAACCACCAAACAGAGAAAGTTCTACATAGTTCCACTTCCCTTGTCTGTAAAGACAAAGCACACACTTGCTCAGCAATCACGTTGACATATAGTGCCAAATTAGGCATGAAGTAAGACTAGGAAATAAAAAGTAAAAAATAAATAAATAAATTTCAATTTTCTTCAAACATTTTTTTTTTGGGAAAAATTGAAGTAAATTTTTTTTTTAAAGTTTTTTATTATTTCATATTCCTGGACAAAAGCCATTACCTACATTAAATAGGAGACCCCCAAATCTGTTTTGATGCCCACTGAGTTGGAGGAAGATATCAAGTATTGATAGGACCACAGCTTTAGCTTTTGTTTTTCCTAAGTCCAAACAGGAAAGTGGAGACTTGGAACGTGAAAAGGTCCAAACCTTCAGATAAACTCTAATTTTAATTTTGAATGTTCTATGACCAAATCTGAAAATATGCCTGATCACTAGAATACTGTACCTGTTTTTCATTCTCCTTGAGCTCTGTTTCTTTTTCCTTGACTCGATTCACAAACATTTGACGCATTTCATCCTCTCTGGCTTGAAGTTCTGCCTGATGGAGACTCCTTTTCTGTTCATATGTCTGCTGGAAGCTAAGTGGCTCATTATTCCCATCAACATCACTGAAACCCATCTGAAGATAAACATGGAACATCAATTAAAAAAAAGGTTACAGTAATCACATTTTTAAATATAATTTTTCACAAATTGTAAAACATGGTACCTGCTGAAGTCTGGTCTTCCTATAAAGCTCATAGTGAACGGAGTGAGTTGTTTCACGCAGATCTTCCATGTTTGTTCTTACAAGCATTTCCCTCAACTTGACAAAGTCACAGTGAGATTCATTCTCGACTGGAAGAAGTATTATCAGTATTATCATGCATGCAGTTTGATGAAAAAAAATGAACAAGGAATATATGGATCAGGGCAGTGTAGGAATGGAAGCATAACTTCCAATCTTGTTCAATACTGGGTTATACATCATTATGGTTCTGGTGCTCCAAAATCCACTTGGTTTGCTAAATTTGGCATGGCTAAATTTCTTACCAATAAAACAAACTGATCTCTAGTTAGGAATGTCATTTTGAATGAAATGAAAACAAAGATTTGTTGTTGACCCATGGGGAAGAAAGGTTCAAGATTCCATGATCATCTTTCAGTACTTAATGTCGCTGGAATGAAATAAACAAATTTAAAGATGTTCACTCCAGATGGTGTTGGCACTGATTTTGACCCCATTGAATGAGCTGAAGAGACTTTGTCTTATGGCATCATATGACTCACCTTGGACAATTCCCCAAGGATACTGTCGAGCTCTTGCCATTTTGTTGCCTGTCTTGACAAAATCAGAACTGGCAACAACTGCAAATGGGACATGGGAATTCATCCCACGATTAACTTCAGCCAGAGTCTCATCATCCAGTGGGAATTGGTACAATTTGACTCCATTTTGCTCTATCTCACTCATCACTTTGGTCTAAAAAAAAGTCAGAGAAGCAAAAGACAATCCTCTATGATCAACAGTTGCAGGATTTCTGATTTAGAGAATGGGAAGGCACTAACTTTGAATTTCTGAAGTTCGCCTTTGGAAACACAATCAGCCTTTGCAATGATAGGAATTATGTTCACTTTCTTGTCAAGCTTCTTCATGCACACAAGATCAATTGCTTTGAGCCTAAAAGGAGAAACCATCATCATTACAGGATTCAGAGGCTTCAGCTCTTATTACAGGAACTTCATTCCACGGTATGCATGAGAGTGATGAGAGAACTTACCCATGGCCAGTTGGGCATATGAAATAGAGGCACACATGAATTCTTGTATCATGATACAAAGAGAGATTCCTTCTAATCTTCAGTTCTTCTTGAAGGTAGCTTTCAAACTGTGAATCAATATAATCCACAATGGCTTGGAAGCTATCATCCTTGTTTACTTGGTCCCCATATCCATCTGTTTCAACAATGGTCAGCTATAATGAAATAGAGACACAGATTATAATCATGTGATGCTTGATGAATAATATTCTAATTGTAACATGCTAGTCACAAGAGAGTAAATACTAACCTTCAGTTTTACACTGCTCTCCTGAAGTTCATATGTGTGAGCTTTCAGTTGCACTTTGGGAAGACTGTGGGATGAAGGAGTGCTCTCGAAACGGGTATTGAAGAGGGAATCCATGAGAGTAGACTTCCCAATTCCTGTTTCACCTGAGTGGGCCAGAAAAAAGAGAGATCATTTTGAGCCTCTTCAGAATCAATTATAAACTGGTATTAGTGAGCTTCTGATTAGGGTGGTAAACATACTGTCAGTAAGTTTACCTCAGAAACAGGAGTTATGATAATTTTTTAAATCTGATATATTATGACAGATTTTTGTGAATACAATCCTGCCTTAGGAGGTAAGCAACTCCTCAAAAATATCATACCATACATTATAATTTAAAAAAAATAACTGCCAATTAATACCATACTGAGTAGGACTGCATCGATGCATCGGTAACCACAGGTATTGGCTGCTGATACTGTACCATCGGCAATCGGTAGGTTTGCAAGCTGCCGATGCTGATGCCCGAAGAACATGCCGAACAAAGAAAAAGTTAAAAGGATTTTAAATAAATAAAAACTTGTGAATACGTCTCAGTAAAGGATTCTAAACAGCAATAGGAAATATGTTAGGCAGCCACAATGCATCGATCCATAAACCGGGAGGCCCAAAAAAACGCGCTCTGTTTGACGTTTTATAAAACCCACTGTGGATGATCTAGTTTCGTGAATTTTTTGTATCACATTGGAAAGATCACAAAACTTGTTTTCTGAAAGTTTCATGTACATAGGTTGCCTGAATAAAAATCGATAGTCATTGAAAGTGGTTCATAAAATGTACCTTTTCCGCGTATGAGGCGGAAGGAGTTTCAGGAAGGCTCGAATGATTTATTATCGTATTCAGGCAACCTAGGTACATGAAACTTTCAGAAAACAAATTTGTGATGTTTCCAAAAAAAATCACAAACCAAATCATTCACAACGGGTTTTATAAAACTTCAACAGGACGCTCTTTTTTTTGGTCACCTAGTATATCCATGTAATTATCGATAGTTGGCAGCATCGATGGCTTTATTAACCATCGCGAAGGTGTGCTTCTACCCAGCTGACGGAAAGAGGTATGCGCCCCGATGAAGGCAAGAAACGCAGCAAGTCGCTAGCTCGATCGCGATGAAAGATGACGAAATTCGCCCCCTCCCTCACGTCCCGTGATGCATCGATGCGCCATCAATAGTTCAAGCCGACACATCGATATTTTCAAAATGACCATCGTGATAGTCCCAAAAAAATCGAAGCAGAACCTGTTTTCCAATAGGCTAACTTGAATAGGCATAACGCAATCAAAAAGGAAACGGTATCGACACGGGCCGATGGGTATGAAATCATCCTGATTCTGAGGACTCCACCTGTTTCCAGTGAAGACAGGCAACAAAAAAGTATGGAGACATGCGAGGGAAAACTACCTCCAGCGAGATCATAGCAGTCCATGGTTCTTTCAGTTTTTTTTTTTCGACCCCCCCCCCCCTTTCCCCCTTTATCTTCAGAATTCTTTCTTCTTCAGATGCCTTACATCACGGGTTGCTGAAATTCCTCAGATTTACCCTTCTTCGGCAAGGGAGAGGCACCCCGAATTTCAATAGAGGGTAGCCCTGCCTTTGCTAGATAGGAAGTCCGAGGAGGACGAACAACGGAGCTGATGACATTGCCTACGCAAAAAAAAATGACGCACGCTCGACTCTCTGGATCAGTTCTGGCAGGATACGAACTGCAGGATATTCAGTATCCGTCCAAAACCATATCCGGTACATCACCATTACAAATGGCCAAAGAATTGCGTTCAGCCTTGCCGCAACAATGTAAAGGTAAATAGAAGCACACTGAATCTTAATAGTCATAGATCCGGAATTCTCAAACATTTTGGAACCATAACCTTGTTTCACAGGGTTCAATAACTTGCGATCTTTTAATATTTACGTCGCGGAAAATTGATCGCAAGGAATCGCGAGGAATCGAATACATGATCTAACATCAATACGATTTTTAAACTGTGCCCCTCTCCGCGCAAGGGCTCATGAGTAAAATTTATATTTGAAGCACCAATGATAACGGACTAAGGAACGGGTGCTGGATTAAAAAAATCAAGAAAATGAAGCAAATGACCCGAGCTATTCATTAGCAAATTGATTTTAAGCGCGCTGGCCCTGGCCGCGAACCCTGACCACAATGCTATGTACTGTACGTGAGCCTATCAAAAACTTCCGAGACCGAACTTCATACGAGCAAACTATTCTAGCGTCCAAAAGAAACGTTACAAGATAATTTAGAGCTCGCTCGCGCATTAGGAGCTGTGATAGTTGTTTTCCACCACAATACACAATAACCTGCCCTTTACTGAACAAGTCACCATCGATTGAACCTTATAAGCGTGTTCTCGCTAACCTTTGATTGCTATGCACGTGCCGTGTCAGGAAAATGCCTAATTAGGTTTTATCCATGCCATATGTAAAGTTCAGGGGTGGCTTGCATAAAACTGACAAGTGTAATAAAGCTTCAGGATGGATTTTTGAACTGAGAACTATCCGATAGTGCAGCTTTATTTTCAGGGAAAATACTCCATTATCAAAGAAGCAATTTTTGAACCGCGCATTTTCTATAATGCTATATTATATTTAGACACCGGTTCGTGATTATAATAGAGTAGGTCCAGAGGTCCTCTTTCGTCGATAATGTTGGATTATTTCCATCAGTCACAATGGACTGGCTGCACGGCTTGCATCGTGCACAATGGTATCACCTCGTATTAAACCGATATTTTGCCTTATTGAGGAAACATTGCAGACAGATCAAAACCCATCGAGATATTTAACTATTCAATACTTAACTGGGGAATTTCCTCGTGCAGGCGGCCGCTTGGAGGGTAATTTTTCTCTGTTATAAAAAAAAATTGTTTTGAATAAATATTCGAAGTCCTACCGAATCGGATTTTGCAATGAAAACATTCACACGCATTGAACTTTCCTTTCGCGACCGATTTAGAACAACTTCCAATTCTTGGAACCTGTCTATAAAATTGATTTTGATTTGTACATTGTGAAACACATCGTCCTACGCCGCAATATGCCTACCAGTACTTGGTCCATTCGTTAACCACTTTTGGAGCACATCGCACACCTTCTAGTTGTTCACTTCTTGATATTAGACAGAATTACGCCCGGAAAATGCCTCTCAAGTAGGTGCGAGGGCCGCAGTGACTTGGGGTGTCTTCTGGGTGGGATTTCTTGCACTTCTCAGATTCTAAATAAAGTTATCTGGAACTCCAGTCTCTTCATAGTTTCATCTTTTTCTTGATAGAGTATGAGTGCATTCAGACATGCAAGGGGGGGGGGGGAATTTTGTGAAAATATTTTCTACATTTTTCCCTGGACATACAGGGGGTCAAAAAATCTATTCCTCCTCCCCTAGCCATTGGACCAGGACATATATTAAAAGAGTAGTACCTCTGAATTCCTTGTTCAACAAAGGGTTTAAGTCTCTACTTTCAGATCTCGAAGAGTTACGGCTGGAAAGACCGGTGTTCGTGAATGGACCAGGGCACGGGGTAGATTTCGCAACATTGCCTTCCGTGAGGCACGAGACTAGGCATTAACTCTATCAACATCAAGGCCTGGATCGCAAGAAAGATTGGAAGGTCACAGGAATGGGTTTAGGAGAACTGGAACAAGAGTTATGAAGACGTTTATGCGGGGTTTGACAATAAGAGCAGCAAAGCAGTCGGGGAGACCAAATAGAATTTATTGATTCCTGAAATGAAAGGATTATTAAAATACTGGTTTCCTCCATCGTGTCGTACTCTTTGTAATGGGGGAGAAAAAGGTTTTTGACGCCCAGTACAGGTGCAACTAACTATTAGAACTTTCTACACCGCCCATGTTTCCAGCTCAGAACCTTTTTCATTGTCGCTATCATCTATAGCAATCGCTCGTCTTCCCTCTCGTCATTATTGTTACGGAGGGGGAAAGAGGGACGGGACTTGGAAGGCATGAGAGGCCCGAAAGAAAGCCAGGGAACGGCCGGGACTTGAACCCAGGCCTCCTGATTGTCGGTCAGGTGTGCTACCACTACTCCACTGAACCCGGGACATTCAATGCGCCCTCTCGATGCCATCCTCATCCGTCACTCTATCAAAACCATCAGCCTCTGATTTGTCTAGAACATTAGCTACATCTGAATCTTTCAGGCCCGACAGTCTAAGTCTGGGCTTCCAACCCAGGAGTCGCCAAGATCTTATTTATGGTTGCGAACCGGCAACTAAATGCCATATTATGTTTTTTCTTTGCGATTTTAGCGCATAGGCCTGTCGAACTTCGGCCAATGCTTGGGGTCCCGAATGGTATGATCGTGATTTTTGGCATCGTGCATGAAGAAGGTTGGGAAGCCCTAGTCAAAGTATTTTATTTGTACAAGCCATGCCTCGCAGACTTGAGAACTGGTGTTAAAACAGACCCTGTTTTGGAACTATCGAAGTACTACCGAGCAGATTTCCCCGCCATACGTGGGATCCCAACCCGATCCCCATACGTGAGATAGCTGCCCGAACGACAATGGCGATTTACCCAGGGAAAACGAGGGACTGAAATGCCATGACGAGTACATGCATGTGCACATAGGAAAAATCATGCCATAACGAGTATATCCAGTTAAGTGATTAATGACGCAAGTTACGAAAATGATTCCGTTTAACGAAGGAAAGCGTTTTGTTCATCGATCCGACCTGACATTGGGAAATGACAACGCTACTGGAGTGCTTCCACTTTTGAAAGTGCTCGTTGCTCTTCGCTTTTACGCAACGAACTCTTTTCACGATGTCAAGGGATTTTTTTCAGCCATTTGTCGTGCTTGTTAATTCGCACGATGCTCACAACCATCTTTAAAAACTCATTACGTTGTACTTTCTCGCGTACGAGATGCTAAGTTACACCAACCGTCGTTGAAAATAATCGAGGATTATTATAAAAGAGCATCATCAAATGCAGCTTTATCTGGCCAGTTCAAAAATCGAAAAAATAATATTTCACTTTATAAAGCTGCATTATACAATAAAGCATAATTATTTCAGAGCTCGGTTCAAAAATCCACCCTTTGCGATTATCAAAGTTAAGTGTTCTGCCAGTTTTGATGAAGTGTTGATTCAATCCGTTTAGGTCACACGAGCTCATCCGAGTCGCCGCGCGATTTCTTGTTGACCAGAAAAGACCTGTAGTTTCCTCAAGACTTTTCGATGGCCGTCCACTGCTTCTGTCATCAACCGATTCCCGCCCTTTGCGAAATCGCTTTTGCAAAATCACACAAGCGAGAATTAGGAGATTTATGTAGGATGTATTTGTACCTTTTGAGGGCAGATGAAAATCAAAAAGGATAATGAATTAGAAAAAAAGTATATTGCATCCATGCTATGTTTCCCATGAAGTATCAAATTTCTCATTATCTTTTGTGAGATTAAATAAATGAAAATGTATGCACACCCTGCTGAAAAATGCTTACTTTTCTCTTTTTACATCATGATCTCCTTTGCCAAATCCCATGTAGATTCAGCAAAGAAGTATAATACCCTATACCCTGAAATTACAGGGTACACATAATCCTGGTCCCAAACCAATAGCTGGGAAAGAAAAGGCAACAGAATTTACTTTTGGGAGATCTTGGCACATGTCTCTCTCTGGAGAGATATGTACAAAGACCTATACTTTCTCTGAATAGACATTCAGATGGAACACATATAGTATGCAAAAACAAGTTTATAGACATATGGAAACATAAGACTGTAATAGGAAAAATAATAATCTCCTTTCCATCAAAAGAATTTTGAATGCAGCTTCACAAATAGAGTGCATTTGTTGGTATGCATTATTATCTTGATTTAGGTAATCAGGTAAATTGGATATACAAGGGGCAATCCAAAGTTTCTGCCAAGGTACAACAAAATGTGATTGCTGAAACGAAACAAAATTTGTCCTTGAGCATTACCTCCCTGAACATCAATACCTGTGCCATCGATGGGACAGAGCTTCAATTTCAGGGGAAAAAATTATTTTCCACAGTAGTCTAAAAATGCTGGGACAGCTTCAAGGAATTAATTTTAACCTCCATAACTGCTTCACAGGAAGTTTTGCTTTAAGTTTATAGCATTATATGAGCTGTTTTTTCTTATTTGAATATATTTATACTAAATGAGGCTCTGAAATGAATAAATATTTGGCTGGAACATTCATTGCAAACAAATTATTAATAAAAAAAATAATAATGTGGCTAAAACTAATTGATGATCCTTGAAATTACCAAAAAAGGGTGAAAGAACACAAGAACCAAATTTCAGCCTTCTACAATCATTTCTACTACCTCAGGACAGAAACCTTGTAGTTCTAACAACACCAGTAATTGCATCCTTATCAAGCTGTCTGCTGATTCATGAGAAGGGAATGAGAGGGAGGTTAACATGAACTTAGGATACACTGGAGAGAAAGAGGTGGGGGGGGGGGGAGGGAGGTAGGGTAGGGGGTCAACACTCAATATAACAAACTGGAATGGGCAGGCTAAAACATTTCTTATAAGGAAAACTCATTATATTGAGTGTCAACAGTATATTTATAAAATTTTCCTGCTGCTAGTAGTGAGTGATGAATGCATAACATCAAGAGCACAGATGGAAGCTCTTGTTTAAGAGGGGGTAATCGAGGTTCTTACAATGGAATGAGACAAGATGAAAGGGATACATTGCGGACTAGATCCATGCATTGTTTAAACAACTTATCCCAACTTAATGGGGTCGTGATTTGAAATGCAGACTTCACCTCCAAATAGGCAAACACTGCAAAACCCCATAAATTGCAGATTTTCGTTCCGTTCGATAGCAGCAGTCAATGTCACCTTAAACCCAAATCCTAGACCCGTGAACAGTGAGCTGCGGAAGTCGCTGATACTTCATGGTGATAACCTAAGGAACAATAGATAGGCCACAGCCACCATGCAAATATGAAGGGCAGTCCATGGCACCCAATACTCACCGATACAGAGAATATTGAATGAGAATCCGGTCTGAATGATTTTGCTGACGAGTTGATCCGGAAGACTGTCGAAGCCCACATGTCCGTGCAAAGGCAAAGGGCGAATATTCTCTTCCTTGGTGCCTCCCATAATTAAGAAGCCAGGCAAACACAAACTAGAGAGACACGTGTGGGTTAATTCAATTTGAACCTATCAGAGACAATGATTTGCAATAGAGTACTTCTTAGTAAGCGATGATCCCTCTGAACGAGACAGACTACTATACTATATAGATTTCAGAGCTGCTCTCCGGAAGCGAGCGACCATGTCATGCCCACAGATGCCATCATAATAGGGTTGTGATTCTGCTATCCTTGAGATAACAGAAGAAGATGGAGAGTGCTTGTTCTCAAACGAATCTTAAAAATTGTGAAAAATGAGAAAAGTGAGTGAATGTTGATTCGAGAAAAGATATTAAGTGAACCTGGACGTGAGTGACACGTGGAACAAAAAATCGCAGAATTAAAAAATAATGTTAGTGAAGCACGCGGCCACATCGATCTTAGTGTCGCTTCGGTCGCTCCAGTGTCGTGTGGTGTGATTGGCGTAAGAAGGCAATAATTGTTAAAATTCAGTTGCTGGACAAATATATTTGAGCCGTTATCATTCCCCATTGTACTAAATTGAGGTGAGTGATGTTACATAGGCTCAGGTCTAATTTTTTCTAGTTTTCTCAATTTTTTCTTCTCTTAGGTTAAGGGTTTCGCCTATTGCGCTGAATACCGTTTAGGTATCTGCATCGAACTTGGGAAGCATGAATTGTCTATTATGTAACGTCAATTGGCATGTCTAATGCATCCAAACTCGTTATGATACAATTTTCATGGTTCAGAGTACATGATGCTTATTATATTTATAGGTGAGGATAAAAGGCCTGCTATGTTATGACTTGGTTGCTTAGACTTGAGTGTTGTGAACTTGGAAATTTTATAGATCTGCGGGCGTGCCTCCTACGCGTATCAGGGTGCTAATAATGTCAGAAGAAGTGAAGGAGGAAGCAGAGGCAGAGTTTGATACCAGGTCAGAGGCCTCAACTTCAAGTGGCAGCAGTGGGAGTTCCTCTACGAGCGAACCCAGCGTATCTTCACTGTCCTCTAAGGCTGAATCATCTTCATCAGGTAAGCCAAGGCCCATTGTGGTCCTCATCAGATCTCTGAGTTTATGGCAGGTAATAGAATGATTGAATAAAAAGTTATTTTCTTGTTACAGTAATACCTTTTGTCAATCCTAGAAAAAATGAACTTCGTAACCAAGCAGACCTATTGTCTGTATGAGATGCCTGTAAATATAGTGTGGCTGCAGGATATGATGATCATTTGATGAAATTGTGGTGTTTTCTGTTTATTTTGCCAACTGTTCAGATGAGGATGATGATGAGAAAGAAGACTTCTCAGAGATTGTGAAGGAGAAGGAAAGCTCACCAGAGGTTGGGACAGATGTTATAGAAAAAGGAAAGAGAGAGAGGGGAATTTCTCCGATTCAATATGAATCCCCTCCAAAATTTGAACCACCTCCCAAATCAAGCACCAGTACCAGTAGTTCCAAGACCAAGAAGGTGAAGGCTTATGATTATTTCACCAAATTGAACTACCTCTTTCGAGATGCAAGATTCTTCCTGCTGAAAAGTAATAATGCTGAGAATATTACATTGAGCAAGGCCAAAGAAGTGTGGTCCACACCACCACAAAATGAAGCAAAGCTCAATCAGGCATTCCGTGAGTGTCGAAATGTCCTCCTCCTATTCTCGGTCAAGGAGAGTGGGAAGTTTGCTGGTGAGTCCTCATAACTGTTTTTTTTTTTTTTTTCCTATACTTCACACAGTATTCAATATTTGGTGTTGATGACCTTAATCCAAAGATAATATACATTTTGGGTTTGAATTATAAATTAGGGAATAATTCAGTTTCTTGAATGACAATTCATAAACAACTAAGATTTGATGAAGAGGCTTTGGAGAGTCCATAGTCCATTTACTATAAGTGTAGGTTCAGAAACTAGAATAGTCTATTTCTTCTGGATTTTTAGTAAGGGTAAATGTCCTGGCATCTGTCTTATCATAGAAGCAAAATTTCTGAAATTGGTATCATTTTATCTTAGCAAATATATATAAGGTAAGTGATACTGATTCCTACCTCCTTAAACTTAAAATCCATTCTCTTATGTATGCTTTGAAATTTATGGTTTTAGGATCTATCTCAATTGAGAGCACACACTGTCTATTCACATTTTTAGACCAGTCATCACTGTAATTTGGTTGAAAAGGGCTGTTGGAATTTATTTTTTTTATTATGTAATTTGTCTCACCTACCTTGTATCCAATATTGGAATGTTATTACATCCATTGACTGATTGATATATATTGCACTTCATGGATGAATGACCATTGAGTCCTATGTAGGGTTTGCAAGACTTGGCAGTGAATCAAGACATGATGTTCCCCCTATTTCATGGGTGCTCCCTCCAGGAATTCCTGCAAAGGCATTAGGTGGAGTGTTTCAAGTGGACTGGATCTCAAGGTTTGTTTTCAGATTCATATTTAATGGGATTTCTGTGATGTTTATGGTGATAGCTTGCCTATCATTCCAGAAAAGAGTTGGCTTTCACAAAAACTCAGCATCTGTACAACCCATGGAACGAAGGGAAGCCAGTCAAAATTGGACGAGATGGCCAGGTGAGATCAGTTCAAAGGTCTGTACTTAAAGAATTTATTTAGATTCATAAAGGTGGTATTTTTTCTTTTGCAGGAGATAGAGCCTCGAGTAGCTGAAGAGTTGTGCCGCTTGTTCCCTGAGGACACTGGAATTGAGCTGACACCAATCCTTTACAAGTCAAAACGTGCAGCCCGTAATGTGAAGCCAAAGATGCCTCAACAGACGATTATGCGGGGAAGATTCCGTGGCAGTGGTCGAAGGGGTGGCGGTGATGCTTTCCCTAGGTATAGTGAGTGCCTGTGTCTCGGACTGGCCTGGACGTTCACAGTTCTTATCTTGCAGGGACTGTCTAGTGTTAACAAGGACTTCATGAGGACGGTTATCTCTCCCTCTTTCCCCGTTTCTCTCTGTCTCACAAATACCCACAGACATTCCAAGTGTCCCTGCACGTCAATGGACGTTTCAGCGTGTTGTGCTTAGCATATGCTATTCGTTCTGCTTTGGGACTTGAAGGGTGTACCTGTTCCACACTGGGGTGAGTGGAACATGTTACTCTTTGGGAAGAAGGGAAGTGTGACGATATCTCCCTTCTTCTCAGGCTGGTGCATCTCACAGACTGCAAGATTCTATGTGACAGACACCTGTCTTGTGTAGGCCTATGGCTGATGGCTAGACTTGTTGCACAGGATGTGGAAACAACACTGCATGCTTGTTTCTCAAATGGTTCGTTTCCTCCTTATGGAGTGCACAAGAATAGAATGTATATTCTAAATGAAGGGCTTTGAGCAAGATAATGAAATTTTTGGTTCCTTGAGAATATAGTGAAGAACAAGATTTTTATGGTTCAAAATATGTTGCAATGCTACTGAGCAGATGTTGCAATTCATATGAAGGCATTTGGCATCCCTGAGCAATAATTCAATTTCAATGAGAATAAACAAAAAAAATTAATTGATTATCTTCCTCCAAGTCCTTCTGAGAATAATGATAGGTCTAATGCAGTGGTTCTTAACCTTTTTTTTTTACCTACAGATCCTTTTGGGATTAAGGTGAACTGCATGGACTCTCTTCACTCTCACCATTTTTTAAGCTTCAAAAGTTAGTTCATGTAATTTTGAAGACAATGTTTTAAATCTTGACTGAAAGGTAAATGAAAATTTTTTATATTATCCATTAATTCTTTTTGGCTTTGGCATAGTTTTTCAGACTCACCACAGATCCATAGGCTCCCATTTGAAAACGTATCTAAGGTATATCAGGACTTCAGAGAAAGCAGAACTTCAAGCCTTGTCCTTGTTTTATTCTTTGGTTCATTTTCTGGAGACGTTATTTGGTTATAGGTATGGAGGAAGAGGAGTTTCTTGCCAGTTCAGGAGATTTTCTATGGTAGAGGGATAATCACAAGTTATCCTCTTGCAATGCATGTCAAAATCAGCTTATGTGTGATCATGAAGCTTCCAGGATAGTAACCATTTGAGAGCAAAGATCCAGTCTTATGGGGAAAAAATTGCTTGGACAGCTTTGTTGTTATCCAGCTGTTGCTAGAGTCCAGGCAATCTCTCCACTGGGTTTGCAAAAGAAATTAATTGATATCTTTGATTGCCCCATGAGCAGCCTGTTCATGCACATGGTTTTTGGAATAGAAAAAGACTGTTGGTCTAGCATTCCACTCAAGCTATTTAAGATGCTCCATTGCTCTATGAGCTCATAGGCTTTGTTCTTCCTGGTAACCTTCCCTTGCTCCAATATACATCTTTCTTTGGAGTATTTTAGAGCTAGGAAACAAAGTCACTTCTGATCCTAACTTTGAATTTTACCATTGTGTCCTTCCTTCACATTTAAGTTAAGTGACCCATGTCACCCCTAATAACCAAGACAAAAAATGCATCAACATAAACTTTGACATTAATTTTGGCTATTCTCTGAAAATATTTTCCCATGAATAGGATTGTATTTGTATTTGGCATAACATCCTCTGGAGAGAAAGAATAGGGCTTTTGACCTTGGTTGCATGTCATGTCTCATTTACAGTGTAACTAGAATGGCTGACATAATGGAGTTGGAATACTTAGTTGCAAAATTGCAGTAGGAAATATGTTGATGCCCTTCAATGAGACCTTCAAGCCCTTGCTCCGTAGACAGAATTTCCCAGTTGTGGAGGCATTATTGAAAATGGGGAGGGTAGGGGGGGGGGAGAGAGTAGAGCTGTTGAAAAATTGTGTACCAATTTCTTATTAGTGGTTTGATTATGTTTGCATTCAATCATGCTATATTACTGCCTCCCTCTCACAATAGAGCATTTGCCCCTAAAGTATTGGAACTTGAAGGCCTGTTTTCTACATTACAAGAGAAAACCTTCCTGGCAAGTTATGGACTGTCTCCATGCAGTATGCATGTATACCAGATGAAAAGAGCTGATATGCATATGTTATAGTCTGTCAAATATTGACATCAAATATTCTTCCCCTTCTCCACAAGCCAATTGCATGCACAAAGGGATGGTTTGAATTCACAAATTAAGTTTCAGCTGTCCTGAAAATTTTAAATACATAGTTATGGAGGCAAAATTAAATTGAGGCTGAAAGTAGGGGGGGGATAGGATCTCACTGCATATGGGATATGACAAGCAGGAAATGACCATTAAGTGTAGACACATTTTCAGCCCTGCACTGTAAAGCCTTCTGGCCAGATCTCCCTCTATTATCTTACACAGACATTGGAGTAAGCTTTGCCTATGGATGTGGTTTCTAGGCACCATGGGCTACAGTTGTAAATTCATATCCGCCCTCATATATTGTGACTTGATGCACATATCTGATAATCATGGATTCATCCAATTTGGAAAGTAATTAATAACATTAGTGTTTATTAATATTTCAGAGTTAAGTAGGTACTTGAAATACTGCTCTTGATTCACTCAGAAAGGCAATAGAGATTATTTGCAGAGCATTTGTTTCTCAATGTTGATTTTAAGGCTAATTTGTAAAAGCTATACATGTAAAAGAGCAAATGGCAGCATCAATGATGTGACTGGAAAATATCCTTCAATGGGGGAGATGAAAAGAAAGTAAAAAATACAATAAGGGAATTGAAGGATCAATTAAACAATTTGCAGTTTAAGTACCTTCCCATGAGTTATTAGCTATGTATAAAAATTGTTTATACATATATATATTTTTGGAAGCTATTAATTCAACAATGTTACTTTAATTGGAGGAGAGCCCTTGTCATTTGATTGGCCAGTGCACAAGAGAAATCAACTTATACTTTGGAAGTTTTGCAATTCTGACTCCAAAGAAACTGCTGTTTTCATCATTCTGAATTTACACTTTCCCAGATTTCTTATATTACATGTGTATTCTCACCAAATAATAGATTGCTAATGAGTTAACTTGGAAAACTAATGTTCACAGTTTTCATCTCAGGTCATTTCATTTGTGCATTAGTCAAGATGCTAATTTTCCTTAATTCCTGTCAGAGGTACCATCACATAGGTGTCCTGTATGACCTGGAAAGCAGGCATAGGATTTATAAAAACTGCTTATTTCCACATGTATTTTCAATCAAATTGGAGCCCATTGAAAATTTTTTTCTACAGAATTTGCAGAAAAAATTTTTTTTGTGATTGATGGAGTTGTCATGCTGACAACTTGTGAAGTTGTAAAGAAAGAAAACTTGAATCATCTTTCCAAGTCTGTTAATAATAGGAAGCACTGTTAAGCTACTGAAAATTTAAATTATCAAGTAATACCAGATAAGTGACAGATGCTCTACAGAAGAATCAAAGCAAAACTCAAAGATTCAGAAAATGCAAATAGATGTTTTCCACCCTTCCAGGGGAAAGAGACGCTTTGAAGACTTTGGTGGACCAAGAAACAAGCGAATTCGTGGTGAGTGCTTTTCTATATTTTCTCTTATTTTCCTAGGGTACCAAAGCAAACTTATGCACTACAGCTTCTGCAATAGTTAGTCATGATTATTATTCCATCCCAGCAAAACACCACTTCACAAGTTCATTTGTTCTAGTTTTTGAGCAAGTGTTACATGTCTCATATTTTTCATGTTCACATTTCTGCCAATGGACTGAGAAAACAGAAGGATCCTGGTAATCTGGAAAATATATAAACTTGCTGTCAACAACTTGGAACCACTTTCTGCTGAGGATTTGACATGAGAGGTCTCAGTCTAAGGATGGAGTGCACCCAAAAATATGGATTTTTTGGGGGGTGGGGTGGGGGGGGGGGGTTCTCATTAATAGTCCAAATGGAAGTAGGTCTGCTCAATGGATCAAATTGAAATACATATATGTTGGTGCATATGTAGTGGTCTCTGTTACAATAAAAGGGAGAAAATGGTGAACATTTCTTTGGCATGGAAGTGTGCAACTTCCATGCCTGGATAGAGTATACCATATCTTAGAAGAAGGCAGCTATTGGCTCTTTTTTTGCTGCAATACAGTTACTAAAAACATGACTCCCCCTAGACATGGAGTTATGCCAATCTTCCAAACTGGTAAAATCAGACTGGACCTTGCTCACTCCTAATAACCATCTGACATATTTTCCAATTTAGGTCAGTTGGCTTCCATGCCATTCAGTATGCCAATTTATATTTTTCAGACATCTCTTTAAGAATCTAAATCTAGGTTGATGAATTCTAAGTTCAGTATTCTGCATCACCATTAAGCTTAGACTCTAATATGCTCAGCATGTTTTTAGTTAATCATAAGTCACCTTCTGTATGTAGCCCAAATTGTCACTTCCCAACTGGGGGAAAGGGAAAAGAGTGAATGGCACCCTATAGAAACAGGATGAGCTGAGAAAAACCTAGCACTAAAGCTGAGAGAAAGAGGAAAGAAAGGCTGGTTGGTTGAGGTAGAAAAATTGATGTTTACTTCATCTGGAAAGAAGCATTCCAACATGTGGTGGCCAATGTCTTTTGAGAAGACTGTTTTGCTTGCAAAGTACAATTGGCTCATTATTCCTGGAACACAAAATGCTACTGAGTCACAGACTCAGAAGATGTCGCATCTTTTATGTGTATGTCATGTCTACTTCTAGGGAATGAAATGCTGGTATGAAAAAAAAAATCAACTAACCACTTCAGTATTTGTTACCATGTAAATTATAGTCTGGGAATCTGCAGTAGTTTAACACTGAAATTGACCAAGACTTATTTACAGGAAACTGCAAAAGAGCAATCAAAATGCTAAAGGTGCATCATTTTCAGTGTCCTATCTGATACACAATATGCTAGTACAGAAGAAATGTAGACTAAGTTCTTGTGTCAATAATTATTACTGAAGATAATTGTTGGGGATGAAGTCATTCACTTTGACAAGAATGGTTGAAAAATAATACTAATGGATACCATAATCTGAGCCTGTATGTATCTGTTTGCTTTGTCCCTTACCATGAAATTGACATTTTTCATGATATTAAGTAAAATTAAGAAGACCTCAAACTCTCTGTAGTAGTCTCATTCTCATTACCATCACAGTCCTTAACATTGCCATTGAAAAATGCTATTTGCATGCAAGTTGGACATTTTGATGTAAGCCAGTGTTTAGCTGAAAGAATCACTTTCTTTCCCTTCCATTTTACATCATTCAGGCTGTACCTCTTAGCTACCTTGTCTTTTTATTATTCTTCATTGATATACATGATGTACCAAAGTTTCTGCAAACATATTTAGTATATTTATGTATTTGCCTAATGGATTTTGCGCCATGCCCAATGCATTGGTTCTGTAGTGGTGCCTATTGTGGGTTGTTGGAAAAGAAATTTATTACAGGACTGTCTAGTCATCATAGTCAATGAAATATTATTTTGCACTGTTTCCTGCATATTAGGCACATTAACAATTGGTATGGCTGCTATATACTTTTCTGGCAGCCAACTATCTGCTTAGCTACTTCCTAATCTTCTCTTTTGGTGAATGCAGCACTGGCATCCCTCACAACTGATTGAATTCTGGCAAAAAAGTCATAATTCTTAGGTATCATTAATTAGACCAGCCATGTTATCTGATGTGGAAAGAGAATTAGGTGCATCAACAAAGAATTGAGTAAACTTCAATTTGGCATATAATTTTCAGGTATAATTTTTGCTATCCCATGTTTCTATTTCTTTGGAAAAGGTTTCTTGGCACCCAGTGGAATGTTGGCTTAAGATAAGGATTACCTTGACTTCTGAAATGCATGATTTTTCCCATCCAAATCTTTCTCTGATAAGAGTTTGAAATAATATTCTCATGTTCCTCTTCAGGTTGGCGCAGTGACCGTTCCCCAGCCAGGTACAGTGGGAGGCCCATGAATGGTGTAAGTCACATTCATATATAGCAATCATACTACTGATGTCAGACAAAGAGAAAAATGTTCCTATTAGCAACTTTATTTACATCATTTATTCTCAAATTACTATTTACCCAAAATAACTTACTTCCAGTTTATTTTTTTTATTAGGTTGGAGCAAATTCAGAACTGAAATATGACATTTCCATTATTTGTTCCATGGATGTTCCATTTAGCCTATTCTCTTCACAATGGTTCATTAGCAGCAGAGATGACAGGAAGTTATCCATCAATTTTAAGAATCACTTTGCATCATTGGTTTCTATGTTTCACTTTTGTGCTTTCAAGTATAAATGAAGGTGAACTTTTCTCAGTTCATAGTTGTCTTCTTGAAAAGACTAGGTGTTTTTTTTTTAGTCTAAATTATTTTTTTGCTCTACTCTCATCCCAGTAACACTTTTTCTTTGGTATAATGACATTGCTGGTATATTCTACACTTCTCAAATTCTGATTGATTCTAGGCTTATAGTGATTTGTTGAGGGATTTCCGTGGTGCATTACCTCCATTCCCCCCTCCACCTCATCTTCCATATCCTCCTGTGAGTCACCTGAAAAGAGTTTATTCAATGTCAATGGTTATTTCTGTTAATGTTATGTGTCCTATTTCATCTTATTGCTTTCCATGCAGCCAATGTTTGACCCCCTGGCAGCTCCTCCTCCTAGATACTACGATGGACCACCAATGCCCGACTACCATTCTCGCTCACGAGACAAACGCTCAGTAAGATATATTTGCCTTTGCTGGCTTCTTGAAATGTGACTATGATCTGTGAGCATTGTCCTGTTGAATTTCAATGGTTTGTCTAGAAATATAAGGAGCAATTCCTTAACTCCATTTTATTTCCAATGATGATCATGTGGGAGGGAACTTTATTATTTCCAGTATGAAAGGTGTGTGGAGGACTTCCTTCGACGAACAAGTAGAGGGGATCGAGATCGAGACCGAGGATCCAATCGTGAGGGGAGACGATTTCGTGAAAGGCGCTGACTGCAGTGGCTTCCTTATCCCTCTTCACTGGAAGTAGACAGCAGTTTTTTTTGCAATGTGATTTTTCATTCTTCTGTTCATATCTGGGATCTGGACTTATTTCACAATGAGGAATTTTCTGAGGATTATCTGGTTGGTTGGCTCTTCATTGGAATTTACTCTCCTGTCACAGTGAATACTGGCGAATTCAAGCCCTTTTGGTTTGATGGTGAATATTTCTTCACAATAAATGAGTCATGAATGGAAGATTACTGGTTGTGTTCTTTCCTTCTTCCCAGGAGCTCTATCCTCGGTACAAATCTTGTACAAGTCCTTTTATTCTTAAGCAGTATCTAATTTGAAGTAGGAAATGAAATTTGGGTTTCCAGTGATCACAGACTTTTTGAGTATGCATCCATCTTCATATATGTGAATATGCATGTATCTTGAAAACTGGGAAGAGCTAAGTGGTGAAATTTGACATTGATAGGTCTCATTCTGTTACTGAAAAAGTCTAGCTTTGGTTAAAAGTGGTCATATGTTAAACTGGAATGAGTGGTTGTCAGTTTTTTTGTGGGCTTTGCTATTCAAAAAAGTACTCCATGAAGTGGCATAGATATACATGAACATGGTAGGAGTTTCATTTGAGAATGCTCAATCATAAGCCGCTGTAAATGTTACTGTGGTTGATTAGCCACAGTGGGATCAAGTGACATAAGCAGTTGATGGATTGTTGCCTGCATTGCAAGCACCCCCCCCCCCCCCAGTTCTCATTTCACTCCATTACATTTTCCTATTTAGCAATAGTAGAACAAAGGTAGTGGCAATGTCCTGTTGGGGTAAGGTGGCTTCCATGAAGAGCAGTAGCTCTAGTTTGCATTCCTGTGGTAAAACTCTCTCAACCTACTGAACAAGGGCTCTGCAGGCCATGCAATATATTGCACCTGCACTCCACAGCAGCAAAGAAGCTAAAAGTTCATTTGAAAATGTTTTTGTCCAGGACTTTCTTGAGTATGAAGAGAAGAATGTCCAAGTGCAAGCAGAAATGGCTTTCCTGAGCAAAGGACTTAGCAGGAAGGAACATGTTAATGGTATGGCCCATAGTCATAATTATTCCACAATCCCAGGGAATAATGTTTTATGGGTCCCTTAGCTTAACAAGTAGGTTCAATTTAAAAATTGTTGAATATGTGGGCTTAGATTGTAGGAACACTTTTGAATTGAATTGCCTTTGAAATGTGATTATGATGGGTGATGCCTCGCTTACCTATTTGTTGCCCACCCGAAGTTGCAGAGTCCATAAGAGACGGAAGCACAGGGACACACAACCGGTCAGTATATTAAAAAAGAAGTAAATCCATAATTCCTAATCTGGAAGGTGTGATCGTCTTGGAGTGTTATCCTCGAAGAAGTTTAAAAATTGGTTTCGCATGAAAGTACAAATTAGTCAAAACCAGTCTGTGGTTCATAGTCAAATTCTTCACGTGAATTCGAGCATTATTGCCCTTCTGAAATGTAATGCCTGAGTGGGTAGAAAGGTATTATTAGAACATTGCTGAGAAATGTCAGACAATAGTCTGGCTTCGTCCAGTTAGATTGAGTGCTTAGTCATCGGTTTTATTCCCATGATTCCGGTCGTCGTAAGTTTGGTAATGGTTTAGTAGCTCATTGCGAATTCTATTTCTGTTCCACTAGTTGCTCCAAGATGAATTACTTTTGTTAGACCGTATGGTGTATTTTTAAGCTTTTCAGCTATAATGCTAAATCCTTTTTGGACCAAGAATTGACACGAGGTATTACTCCTAACACGAAAAACCACGTTGAGGTTTACATTTCCATCGATGGAATGAGAAAATTTTCCTTGCAGGAAAATATATCCGATCATTCAGCCATAATGTTGGCATCAGTCCGTTCTTCAGGTGGAACAGTTGAATCACTTTTGTGGTAAAGAATTTCCTTCTCAATGGCTATTTTATCGTTGCTGTACCGGACCGAAAATGATGACAACACATTGTAGCGATGTCGTCCACTGAGCAAGACTGGTAGCCAGATGTTCTTGCCATTACTTTGCCATTTCCATAAGGGAAGTTTCTTAGGTGGTTTAATCGCTTTTCTTTGCAGTCGAGTCGTTTAGTCGGACCATTGGACAATTTCCAATGTTTGGTAGATTGTGTCGGATTTCAGATTTTGGAATGGTTGCCCAGCACCGACTGGGTTGTCCCGCCGTCGCGGCGAGCTGTCAGAGACGGAGGACCGGTCACGGTCGAGATGCAACATCGTTATGATAATTCAACCTGTCTCCCCCATCTTGCCAGTCGAGGTGCGTGGACCTTGCCGGTCCCTCTTGAATATGTAATTTTACTTAAAATGTAAGCAGCTACCTAAGCGCGGCTGAACGTGTTCTGGGATCATATATCGCCTTACAGGTATGAAAAGTGAGATGATTGGATCCAACAATATTGTGGAAAATTATTGCATCCAGATTTTTTTGCCATTTTCCCGATGAGAATTGAAAATTGCCCAGCACCGACTGGATTGTCCCACCGTCGCGGCGAACTGTCAAAAGACAGAGGACAGAGAATTGAAAATTGCCGAACAAATTGGCGGGGACCATGGCAGGTGTGTCGGCGAATGTGTGCAAATTATTAGGATTACTTGCTTGCATATTTCATTCTTACGGTCTCTCACTTCCGTCGTCGCCAGACACACTTTGAGTCTTCCGCATTGTCTTGTTTATTTCTCGAGGGAGGAGAGACAGAAGGGGGGCAGTGGAAGCGAATGCACAGCGCGTCCGCGCTAGCTGGATTCAGTGAGCTCGAGGGAAAAAATCCCCTCGGGGATCTCCGACGGCCTTGGCATCAGTCCGCCTCATTCGAGTGCGAGTCGTCTTTCTCCCTCATCCCGTTCTTCCGCTTCCCTCCCTTTTTCGTTGGGGTGAGATCTCGGATACGATTCCGTCCTTGCGTGTTTTGGTCGCGGACGAGAGAGGATGGCAGTGGTGGCGGTCCGGGGCGTCCATAAGGCCATCAGCTACGCCTTCTGCCCGAGTCTGGTTAAGTTCCTGCCGACCACCATCGGAGAATTCCTGCGAACTAGCGCCGAAAAACACGGTCAGAAACCCGCTTGCATATCGGCGTATCAGGACACGGTGAAGACGTTTGAAGAAATCCACAGGGAATCGCGTCTACTGGCAGCGGGGTTTCTGGCGACGGGGCTGAAGCCGGGAGATCGGATCGGAATATGGGGGCCGAATTCCTACGAGTGGTATCTCACCATGATGGCGGCTTCGGCGGCCGGTTTGGTGCTCGTCAACGTGAATCCCGCCTATCAAGCCTCGGAATTGGAGTTTTGCATCAACAAGGTCGGCGTCAAGGCTCTGGTGAGCGCCGAGCAATACAAGAGCCAGGATTACTACAGCATGGTGGCCCGGATCGCCCCGGAGTTGGAAGAGTGCCTCCCGGGTGAGATCAAAGCCGAGAAGATACCTTCTCTCAAGTCGTTGATGATGATTTCCGATAAGGAGCTCCCTGGGACATTTCGATTGAAACACTTGATGGACGTGGGCGAGGAACCGAAGTACCAGACGCATCTGGACGAGTGTGCGGATCGAGTTCAATTTAATGACCCTTGCAACATTCAGTTCACTTCGGGGACGACGGGGAAACCCAAAGCAGCCACTTTGTCGCATTTCAACATAGTGAACAATGCTTACTTTGTGGGTCGTCGGATTGGATACGACCAACGTCCGCCTGTGATCTGTCTCCCCGTTCCTCTCTATCATTGTTTTGGTTGTGTTATGGGTGCACTGGCTGGTCTCATTCACGGGGGTACTGTGGTTCTGCCCTCTCCCGGCTTCGATCCCCAAGCAGCCTTGCAGGCGGTGCACTCTCATCGCTGTAATTCCATCTATGGCACCCCTACCATGTTCGTGGACATGCTGCACGTGAACGACTTTGACTCGTACGACCTGAAGTGCCTTGAAACTGGGGCCATGGCTGGGTCACCTTGTCCCGAACCATTGGTCAGACAAGTCATCGAGGAGATGCACATGAAGCGCTTCTCCATTTTCTTTGGCATGACCGAAACGAGCCCGTGTTCGTTCCAGACCTTCCCTGAAGATTCGGTGGAAGTTCGTTCGACCACAGTAGGAAAGCCCACCGATCACGTGGAATGTCTTGTGGTCGACGATAACGAGGAAGTCGTGAACCAGGGGGATACGGGAGAGATCTGGATCCGAGGCTATTGCAATTTCTTGGGATATTGGGGGGATGAGGAAAAGACGAAGGAGATCCTGACCCCTGCCGGCTGGCTCAAGACCGGAGACCTGGGAATCCTCGATGACAAAGGTTATCTTCGTGTCGTCGGTCGGAAGAAGGACCTCATCATCCGGGGTGGGGAGAACATTTACCCCAAGGAGATCGAGGAATTCCTTCATACACATCCCGACATTGCCGAGGTTCAAGTCGTTGGGGTTCCCGACCCGAGAATGGGCGAGGAGCTCTGTGCCTGGGTTCGACTCAAGGACAAACGCACCGTGTTGCCTGAAGAAATCCATGCCTACTGTAGAGGAAAGATATCTCATTTTAAAATCCCTAAATATATCCTCATTAAGGATAAGTTCCCAATGACAGTCACAGGGAAAGTACAAAAATATGCGATAAAAAGTATGACCATCTCCGAACTCGGTCTTCAGCAATGAGCAGTGATTCTAGACTAACTTATGTTTTCCTTACATGTCTGTGAAGCATTTATTTTCAAATATATGAGAGCATTTCTCATCTCTGGTAAACAATCACATAAAATGCCATTGTTTTCAAAGACCCATCCATCTCATACTCTCTGATTCACACTCTTTCATACATGGAATCAGAACACTTTTAGGGAATGCTGGAGGCAAGTGCCATGTCTAGACAATTCTGCAAGGAAGTGGGGACCCACACCCCATTTTGGAAAAGGAATATCACACTGCGATCAATGTAGATCTGAACCCCTCCACAGCGATAGATCGGTTTCCCCTCGTAGAACTTGCCAGGTACAGGATGGAAGAGAATCCCCTTCTCCTCGCATCGCCTCTCAACCAACTCCTTGAAGCCCTGAGGTACAGAACCGTGCATCTGCACTCCTCTGGCCAATGTCTATGGAAAAGTTTGCATTCAGATTGGGTTGTTCAAGAGAAGAGGGTGCTTGACAGTGGCAGAGGTTTACCTGGAGGTTTCTTTCATGAGTAGCTGCTGGAGGAACAGGGTGAGGGGGAGGTTGAAACATTCTAGTTGATGGGATGGAGTCCAGTCTTGCTGCTGCTCTCTGCATCATTTCCAGGGCATCATTCAGGTTCTCTAACATTTACCAGACAAGCATTTTATACCAACTCTTTCTCTTTCCCTCTGAAAAAAAGTTAGCTCACACTCCAACACAAGAAGCAGCTCACTTTGGATGATGGGATCAGACATCAAAGATTCAGGAATGAGCCGCTTCCAGCCAAGGTACCATTGCCTCACTTCCTCAAATGATGGCTGGTGATTCAGCCATGTAACAAGGATCTGAAAAATAGTGAGAACACAACTTTTTAATGAAGAGAGAGAGAGAGAAAAATTTTTTTTTTTGAGTTTCTCTTCCTTGCAGTGAAGAAAGCTTCACCTGAAGCCACCGTGGGAAGAAACATCGATCCAACAGAGAAGACATTGTAGCTGATGAGACAAACCCTTCCCATTCCATCACCCATTTCCACTGATCTACAAAAGCAAATATTTAAAAAATTACAACAGTCATTAATCCTGCCTTAGACATTCAGGGCATGGCTCGAAGAAACATGACAGTATGAGGGTCAGACCTAGTTGTTGCTGCTGTGGATTAATGACAAACTCTTCAAGTACCACTTGAAGTTTTGGGACAATGTGTCGAAGGAGAAATGCTTCTGTTGTTCCTTTACCCCAAGCCCTCAACCAAGGTTGGAGAATGAGCTTTGCTGAACGATCACTTGGATGCCAACTTGCTAATGCTGAGCCCAACTTCCCCCTGATGATTGGATACAAGACCTCTAAACGTGTGTCTACAAGCAGAAGAAAAATTATTCACAATGTCATCATAGTATCATGGTGGAAGTATCATCTGGGAAAGGAATGGTGCTGACCCATGAAAGGAAGCCAAGGGTGAATCCAAGCATGAATGGGCACTGTGTCTGTCAATGGATTCCATGCATTCACTTCTGCTTGGATTTTAGGCATAATAAGTTGGTCAAGAGTATGTGCCAAACACCAATTTGGAAGGAGAGGCAGCCACTCCTCTAACAGTTGCAAGACACCTTCACACTCACGAACCTGCCAGTTCCTGAACAGATGCAACAAAATTCATTGGAACGGGACAAGAGTTATGATATATTTAGACAGATGCTGATAAGGAATATAACTGACCCTAGAGCAGATCGTACAGGTGGAAGCCAGGCTTCCCATATCAGCTGTTGATAGGGATCATCAGAAGCTGATGTTCCCCTATGGGACACATGATCATCCAGCAGGTCCTTCCATGCCTTCATCAGCTTGACACCATGCTTAGGATCAGATAGAGGATTCCAGTTCTTGAAATACTCCTTCATGGTGGGAATCACAATAGGACCAGCCAGTTGATGGAGTTGATAGCGTTCATATTCTTTCTCATATACGTCTTTCATTTCCTGGAACATGCTTAAGGCTTCTTCAGGATCCAAGCTCCCTTTTGATGAACGTTGTTCCAGGTTGTCCACAAGGGTCAAGATTCTCTGCATCTCACTCACAGCCTTCTTCTCTTCTTCAATCCGTTCTGATAACTTCTCTTCTTCTTGCTCCAAAGCAATCATCCGATTTTCTGCATTCTTTTTCCTGCGATCCAGCCTGATAATTTGCTGCAGAAAAATAAGAAATTCCTTAAAATAATTCCTTCCTTAATTCGTCAAGACTCAAGAACCAAAACGGAAAGAACCATAAGCTTACTTGTTCTGCCCTGTCAACAAGAAGATCAAGATTGTGCATCAATTCAGGGAGGTCAAAACGTCTTCTCTCCTTCTCAGCTGAAAGGTCTTCTTCTGCTGGCTTCTTTTGAGTCCCATGAATGGCACTGTAGCCACTTAACACACGAGCCTCTTTTCCAGTCATATCAATGACTTTCACTCCTGTTATGGAACTAGAATAAAACATTTACATTAAATTTCAACCAGATACAAAAACCAACTATGAGACCAGACTTCTTACCTGTCATCTTTGTTCACAGGAGCACCAATCCCTGATTCAATGACTTCTTCTACAGTCTTATATACATACTTGATCTTCTTTGCCTTGCGGTCACCCTTCCTCCAATGTGAATCTTTGGAAATTAACTTCTCTTCATCCTGCTCAATTACTTTTGCTGGCTCAATCTTTTTCTCTTCCCCATATGCACCTAATTTTTCAAACAGTGGTAAGATTTTTCTAAATTTCACAAAAAATGTTGGGGAGAAAAGTACTGGCTTTCTTACCAATGGCACCTCTTCCTTTCCTTTTATGGGCTTCAATGGGAGTTGCAATGCCCTGGAGTTCCTTTCCAAGTCCTTTACCAGGCTGATACCCCATCTAGACAAAAATATCATCACAATGTTCATTTGAGAATCAATACACAGCATCTTCACAGACTTCTTTGTTGACTGTGCAATATACAAGAAACTCACTTGAAGAAGCAGTTTTTTCCCTATTCCTTTAGTATGTTGCTCCCACTCACCGATGGATCGCATGGATCCCTTATCTAGACCACCAGACATTCCTTGTCTTCTCCTTCTTTGCAGCTGAACTGGTACTTTGACTTCCTCTTCTTCTGTTTCACTGTCACAAAATGAGTTTAGGGTATTGCCAGAAAGGATATGCAATGATTGTGCATTAAGTTAAAAAGTGAACCCAATAACGCACTTTTATCACAAAGCCCTATGTTCTTACCTGCTAGAACTTCCATGTGATTCTTTCTTAACTTTACCCTCATCTTCAGGTTTCTTCTTGCCTGCCTGTTGAATACCACCTGCCACAAATGAGAGAGGAGTAGTGTAATCAGGCTTGCGTTTATGATTTCTTGAACCAAGGCCAGTATGCCCCCCCTCATCATCACTCTCATCTGCCCATATGCCTGAGAAAATACAAAGTAAAACACATGAAGTCATAGCTTCCTATAATTTCAAATGGATGAGAAGCCCTAACAGGATGCGGGGATCCAACTCACCATATATCTGTTGATTCTTAGTCAGCTTTCGATAAGGTCGATTGATATTGAATTCATTCTCCAGATCATAATCAGTGATCTTGAATTCTTCAAATTCATCTGCCATTTTTACCTCACAGTAGGCCTACCTTGGAAGAAAAAGCAACTCATGAAATACCAGTATCAATGAAAGAATTGACTGTATTCACTGTCTGTTGAGTGGATGGAATAGAGTAAACTTCAAATCAAAGTCTGAAAGAAACAATATGATGACCTATTGGGATGGGGTAGAGAAGGAGCAGTCTGGGTCTAGATTAAACATGCAAGAAATGTCTTGTTTGTCCTTTGTACATAAAATGTGAAGCTAATTCTTTTCTAACAGAAGCATGAAGTTCTATTTTTTAAATCTTACATTGTCTCCTAACACCTCTGTGAAAAAAATGACCTTTGCATTTCCTTTGGCATTGTTTCACCTATAGATTTCCTTTTCTTCTCTTCAGTATTCTTTTGACCTCAGTATCTAAGAACATTGACTGATTTTCTTTACTTATTGAATCAAAAAATATATATATTTTGAACAAGATTCCAGGTATTTCTTGCATTATTCAAGTACCAATTTTAAAAGTCGAAGTAACTTAACTGTTGGGTCTCTGTAGGAGCAATCAAGTATGTCAGTAGGCCTCCTCTTGGCCTTGTTGAAGTATAGAGGATAAGTGAAATTGTAGCCAAAATAAAAATATACATTTCACATCAGGAAATTGGAATTCTTAAAAAGAAAAAGGCATATATTTCTACATAGGAATTAGTTCTTAAATGAAATGTCATTGGTTGACAAACTATGTCTTGAAGAGGCCTATGCCTAACTAATGTAGAGGGAAAATTAGTTTCACTCTTAGAAAACAATTATTGAATGAAGCTTCTCCAAGATTTGAAAATTAAAAAATCAGTCAAGGTGCTACAGCACACCAGTGGCACATTTCACTCAGACTTTCACAGGGTGAAAAATGGGTTTTACTCATTGGGATGCATGTCTTCTGTAAGAGTACTGGAAGACTTATTGGAAGACCAAGGAACAGGGAAATGAGAGTATGCACCACTAAAGAGAACAGGTGTTTGCAGTTGTCCCTTGCATATTAAAGCAGGCATAGCAGAAGTTGTCTTCAGAAAGAGAAGTAATGTCATGACCGGAAGAGGAGATTCATGAGGTGTTCCAAAGTTTTGCTACTCAGAATTTAAACATTCTTCGAGAACCAGATGAAAAAGTAGGAGAGGGCATAACAACAGAGTGACCCATAATTCTTTTGGTTAAATCAATGAGGTGCTTTGTGGGTAATATGAGACAGAATGTCATGGAGACACTGATGCTTTCAGTCAGAGCTATCTTATATAATGTGCCAAATAGGTAGCAGGGAAAGAGGCAATGAGTTGATCCAATTGTTTTTGAATAAAGTGAGGTCTAATACTTTCAAAATGAGGTTTTTAACCAATAAGGTAAATGGACTGCTTTATTAAAAGGCTTAGTTAAGGAAAGACTGCTATTATAATTTTTGAGTGATTGAACCTCCTCTACACCCTTTGGAATGGTGCCATGTCATCCAACTGAGCAACATCTGCTGTCACAAAATAACTGCCTCTGGCTAAACTAATGACTAATTTGAGTATAAAGCAATTCCTGCTTCCACAACAGTAAGGGGGTGTTAGTCAATAAAAAAAATCAGAGTATGAATGCTTCCATGTTACAAGTGGGAGGCCATAAAGAATGTGAGAATAAAAGGAGAGTGTGACACCAAAGGAATTTGATATCAGTTGTGAAACGAAGCCTGCAGGAGATCCTGCGAAAGTATAACTCATTAGAGTGCCGAGAAAGGAGCTGTTTAGAACAATTTTGAGCATGAGAGTCAATACAAGTAACTTGAGAAAACACCAGGTAAGCACCCCTTAAAGTAGCGGAAAGGCGACGAAAAATCACAATTAAAACAGCCTGACTCTAAACTCATTTTAACGGAGCGCGATAAGGATCATGGGCATTTAGCGCTAAAAATAAATGCAAAACTGAGGCAGCCTACGAGTGACCTTGCAGTCAGCGTGCGTCTGAAGTGGGCCGCCATTTGCAAACAAATATGTCGGCATGCATGACCACATGAGCAGGCGGCATGAGTCCTATTGATTAAAATGCAAAAAAATATTGCAGGCTTGCTGATGGAAGGCCAGTAGCTTAATAATATTTCGCAACATCTTCATTGTCCTTGGGTAATATCCTAAGATAATCAGAAGGCCGTTTATTTTGCATCGGCCTACCTGAACCTATCATATGGGTTAGAACCAGTATCAGGATTAGTATGGCAAATCTTTGACCATGAATTCCATTGAGGCGTATGTCTATGACTATTTCTTCAGTAGGTTTTTACCATAATTTTAGGTAATCCTAGGTACTGATCCACCACATTTGAACGAATGCAAAGCTTTTCTGGTTGAGTTTATCTGCAGGAATGGAGTGGGCCAGCTTGCCAGGGTTGAATTGCTCGAAAAGATTGAGGTGACATGATGGGATAAATTTTGAGACGTGACTTTTGGTGCATCTGGTCTAACCATTCAACTGCACTCGTCATCACGTTTCATAAATGAAGGTCTTCCATTTCCATAGGATGAGGTCCAAGGTTGGCTCACACCTAGGCCTAGGCCCACCCATGTGGACCTTTCATTCCTATGGTTTGATCCCAGCATCAAGAGTCACTTCATGGTCTAAGTACTCCACAGCTTTGGCAAGACTGAAATGCATTGGAGGAGCTTCAAGAATGCATCATTCCCTGCCAAGATCACAGATGTCATCAGTTTCTGTCATTTCATGGCAATTATCACACTATGAGTCTACAAGCAGGACAAGAAGTCCATGCTGTTTAATCTCAGATATGTGGTCAGCAAATTGGCTTCATCCAAGGCAAAGATTGATGCACAGTAAAAATAGGACCACAGAGAATGGTCTTGCTTCTAAAATTCTCAGTGAGGTACTCAGAACAGCAGGTAAGACTCTTGTCCAATTCTTTAAAATATTTTGTTTCAAAGATTGTAGAACTGCTATGTATACTTTGTTCCTTCAAATAGAGTTTTTGAGAAGTGATCATCTCTTCCGACATCTTGCTTCAGAGAGTAATCCAAAGGGTGATAAAAGATCAGAAGAAAAACTCTCCTCTCGGCCTTCTACAGCTCCAAAACCTTCCTCTGCTTCATATGGTGGTAAGTGTTCAATGAAATTTTAAATTCCAAGGAGCCCTCATGTTCAAGGTATTCATGATTTGCATGCCATTGCATGCTGTCTACTAGGCACTCACACTCAACAAAGAGGAAAGCAGCGGTTGAAGGCTTCTGATGATCCTACTGTGGAAAGGAATTTCATCACAGCTGTTCGTGCAATGGGAGAATTCCTCCTGAAGCCTCAGCATCTGGAAAATCTGCGAAAAACTCTTAGACGAAGTCCATATGAGAATGAACCTCCAATTACAGTATTTTGGAGAAAAGATGTTGAAGACAAGTGAGTGTATGGATCAAACTGTCTCTGTTCTGCATATCAGACCTGGAAATCACCATGTTGCTTTGACATGTACAGGGCTCTTGAAGTGTGGGGAAGCAAAGATGCCCTTGACAGGGAGCGAATGAGTCGTAAAGATGAAGTAAAACGTAGACAACAAGGTATGGTAGATTCTTAAGTTTTATTTTCAGGGGTATGAAACCTACTAAACTGTGTGCACCTGGCAAAAACATGACTTTTAATTCTATGTAGAGGTAGCCTAATTTTTATCTTACATATTATTCACGATAGTTTCTGCAATTCAGAAGTTAATGTGATGCCATAGAAACAAGGCCACTTTCCAACATGATCATTCACTGCCTTTGTTGTATGTGCTACATATCTTAAACTCTGGGGATTAAGCTACCAATCTTGGAAAAATCAAAATCACTCCCTTGTAAGTCTCATTCCATCTGTTCTAACTGGTTTTAATGTGCATCTTATACACCTTACATAAATGTACTTTAGAGACATCCACAAGTCAAGTTCATGCAGATAAAAAGTGAGTAATACAATTCAAAAATAGAATTTTTCACTACATCTGAAGTGAGTGTGAGCATGAGATAAGTTTAAGCAGGCACAGTCACTGCTGTTGAATTGTGCTGATGGTGCCTACCATTCATATTGATCATATGATCAATGGGAAACAGAGGGACAAGGCTCCTTTTTATTGAATATGCCCAATAATATTTCAGACACTCATTCACTTCAGGAAGCTTCCTTTTGCATGCATACAGAATTGCATTTTGGAAGTCACTTCATTCTTTCCTGTCTTCCATCATGCAGAGTGAGAGCTCTTTCTAGGCCTTCATGATGAATGGATGTAAAGGTAATTTCAGAGTGACAGGGACAGAAATGATACCTGTGAGACCACTGGGGCATTTGTAGACCTTGTTGAACAGAAAAAGTTTAGAAAAGGTGTACTTAGTTCAGGTATCTTACCCCCAGCCCTTTCCTGGTCCTTCTGTTTGTGCTCCACTTTGTTTTTCTGTCATGAATGAAGTAGGAAATTTCATTCTCAGCGGTTTTCTATGTGAAGAAGCTTATTCGTGACATGAGACAGGAAGAAGAAAGTGCAATAAGGCGAAAGAATTTAGGACCCACGCCCACAGCTCTGGAGAAAGTACGAGGCTCCAAAAGAGTTGTAGTAACTGCTATTGCAATGTGAGCTTTATACCTTCATTGCACTGGCTTTAGCAATCTTGCTGGGAAAGGACTCAAACTTTGCCTAATTATTTTTAGCAATGCAGCCAACAGTATAGTGAAGCTGGTTGCATGGGTCATCACTGGGTCACATTCCATGTTCTCTGAAATGCTCCATTCCATCGCTGATACTCTCAATCAAGTCATTCTTGCTGTGGGAATTGATCAATCCATCAGAGTGAGTAAAGCTATTGGATTCTTGCTTGCAGTGCCAGAGTATTTATGTTGGGACCACTTGAATTGAAGTCTCATGTCAAATCTGGATTTTTCCTCAAAGACCCTATTTTCACCTTATTGGACCTGTCAAAGAAGAATATTCTCAATATTATTGATGAGGGTCCAAAAAAAAACACCTGATATCTACTTTTTTATGATTCTCTCTATTTTGGAGGGAGATGAATGTCAATGGATAGTCTGTTATCAGTGATCTGAAATTCATCCACAACCCATTGTTGGCAGTTTCAAATAGGAAATCTAAATTACTGTTGTGTAGGTGGAGGCACCATTACCAACTTTGAGAGTGAGGGCATTAGACAGTTTGGTAAAGTGTAAATGCTATCAAGATGGCTTCGATAGATGGCCTCATGACACTGAGTCCACATGCAAAAATTGGTTGCAAGTCCATCTTGGTATCGACATGTTCTTTTTCCTGTTCAATTTCTCTCAGGTTTTGACTTTCATTCCAGATTTGAGTCTTGATCATGGAAATTGTATAGAGCACATGAAAATTCCAACAGCTATGCTTCTATAGCATGCCTACACTTGTTGTGACATAGGCAAGCTGTATGCAAGCTTCAAAGGTGTTCATGTTACAAATTCCTCATTTTTGGAATTTTCCTGTGCCATGGCCCATCCCTGAGTACACACCCTTAACAGACCCATCATTGAGTGCTTTACCCTACCTCTATATTTCCTATTCATGCACCTGTTCTGAATTTTGGGATTAATTTGACCATGATCCAAAGTAAGCCTGCACAAGGGGTTTCTGTTGAGACCAAGAGCAAAAGGTGAGGATGAAGATGATCTGCAATGGAAGCATTCTTAGTCTGCATTTCTTCAGACTATTTCAAATAGTCTGAAGACTATTTGAAACAGACTATTTGAAACAGACTATTTGTAAGTATCTCTTATACCAATAATGAATGATCAATAGGCTTACTTATAGTACTGAGGGAAGTCCTGAATGCTGGATGTACCTCTTGGCTGTACCAAGAATGCCAGTGAAAGTTTTCATCTTGTTAAAGCTCTAATTCTGTTGTTCAAATGAAATCTTGAGTTAGAGTGCAGTTGTTTGTGACTTAGAGAGCTGATATGGAACATCCATATGGCTACTCACCAGCAAGATATGTGGCCTCTCTCATCTCTGGAGTTGGGATCTTCTGTGTTGGTGCTGGGGTCTCAGTGTATCATGGAATCAATGGTCTCATTCACCCACAAGAGATACATTCTCTCTTTTGGGTAAGTAGGAGTCATTACTTTGCTGGCAGTGTGGTTGTTGGATGTGAGACAATCATGGTCATCCATGTGGTGCTATCCCATTGAATACAGGCTTATTGCATTCTTGGTGGATCATTTGTCTCAGAGGGTGGGACTCTCATCCTTGCCATCAACTCCATCAAGAATGGTGCTCATATCAAGAACATGACCTTCTTTGACTATGGTGAAGGCAATTTCTCCATCTGGTCTGAACCCATGACAAGTATTGTGGCAACATTTGTCTTGAGAATTAATTAAAAGACCAACATGGGAAGTGCAAGTTTGTATCTTCCTCTTGTCAGCCGATCAGTGGAAGTCAGTGCACCAGTACAACATATCTTATGTAAAAAAGCAGCCCAACCTTTTATCTCTTGAGTTAGACCAGTTAGTAATAACTGAATATACTGAAGTCTTGTTATTCCTAAGTGCAAGTTTTCTTGAATATCTTTTGTTTAAGAGCCAAACTTGGCCATGTAGCATGTTTGGTACCAATGAATGTTTTCAGAACCTTATTGTACAATTTTTTTTTTTTCAAATGTAGGGAGTGAAAATGTTATACTATTCTGAATAATGACTAAGGTGAGGTGAGGGCTAGCCATGGATGCATGAAAACGTTCAGGGCACTTGCTTTCCATTAGAATGAGGAAAAAGAAGGAATAGAGAAATGAAGAAAGGAACAGGCATAATTAATTTTGGGGATCCCTAAAGATCAAGGAATAGAGAAAGCCACAATAACAAGGTTACATATATCATCTATAGATAATGAAGTTGCTGATCAGTATTTATGGGAAGTATTTTCCCGTAAGTACTGGGATTTTATTAATGCACTGCTCCTAAGCCTGTCTGTTTCCAATTGTGTTCTTTCAGACATAGGTGTGAAATGCTAAACATCAAGCAGTTGGGTAATTCATGGATTGATCTGGTCTCAAATGATTAAAATATACACAATGGTTATGTAGAGGGTGTACTTTTTCAGATACCAGTTGATTAGAGCATTTTTGTCATGCCTTGTGGTAATACAGGGTGCGGCAAAAAAACCTCCCAGATTTTAAAGGTTAACAAAAAAGGCATGGTAAATGCCATTCAATATTTTATTACATAATCTAAAAGTGCATGAAATACAGTTTATTTTCAATTGGTTTTGAATATGATATCGTCCAGATGGTGGCCTTCATTCGCGATACACATTTGTAGTCGATTTCTGAAGTTTCGCATNACTTTTTTCTTTGGGGCCATCTGAAAGCTGAGGTCTACAAACATCGACCAAGAACCATTAATGAACTGAAGGCTGCTATACGCCAAGAAATTGCAGCGATAACGCCGGAAATGACCCGCCGAGTGATGCGAAACTTCAGAAATCAACTACAAATGTGTATCGCGAATGAAGGCCACCATCTGGACGATATCATATTCAAAACCAATTGAAAATAAACTGTATTTCATGCACTTTTAGATTATTTAATAAAATTTTGAATGGCATTTACCATGCCTTTTTTGTTAACCTTTAAAATCTGGGAGGTTTTTTTGCCGCACCCTGTATTATGAACATCGCCCAGAGAAGATCATGCTGTTTTTAATCTAAACTCAAATGTGCACCATTCCTTTTTTTGCAGTGATGAGTGGGCAGGATCCCAGTGTGAATGTAGTTCTTCTAGAAGATGCAGCAGCTGTACTAGGTCTGGGAATAGCAGGAATGTGCATGGGCTTGACCTCCATGACTGGTTCCCCCATACCAGATGCCATTGGGTCTCTTCTTGTTGGTGCCCTCCTTGCCCAAGTTTCTCTCTTCATCATCTCCACCAACAGCACTGCTCTCGTTGGACGGTATACTTCATGCAGTCATGCTTTTTATGTGTTTGATCCAACTGACATGATGGGAGATTTGAAAATATCAATACATTGACTTGAATTCATGATGGTGCAGCCATGTGACTCTTAAAAAGGTGTAATATAGCCCTGGAGGCCATGTCTGTAATCATTTTACTTTCCAGGACCATAGCCAGTAAGGGATATGCAATAATTGAAGCCTCATCAAGGCTTAGATTGCTTTAAAAATAGCTAATAACCATGTGATCAGATGAAAGAGAAATTTGAAGTTGAAGGGCATCTTGCACTTATGTCCAAAAATTCTATGGTAACTGCATGATGTTATTCTCTTGGATTTTTATGTAATGAGACCCTTTGTGAGATGTGAGAACCACATCCCATTTTTTGTGCCTGGCTAGTTGGTAATCCCTTCTCTATGGGCTTTCTTTCAGTAAGCGATTTTTTTTTCATAATCAGGTGTGCATGTTCTGAGGACATTCTATGTACGGCATAGGTCAATCCCACATGAACTGTTGCTGAAGATCAACAACTCACTGGAGCAAGATCGGATGATTCGTGCCATTCATGATGTGAAAGGAATAGACATGGGAAACTCTCTGATCCGATACAAGGCTGAAATTGACATAGATGGCAGGGAGCTCACTCGACGTTACCTGGATGCTACGGATCTTGAGATTCTCCTAGAGGTGAAATCACTTTTTTTGAAGTGGCATGTGATGAAATAAAAGATGATGGAATGATTGATACTCCATGGGGAGTGCACCGCATTTTCCAGTTTTCAGAATCGCTACATTAGTTCCCTATGGGATTTATATGGGGAGCCTCTTAAAGCTCAAGAGGCCATGTTAATTTGCTAGCCAAAGTGAGATAGAGGGAGAGAGTGAGTGAATGATAAGAGAGTGGCCTTCATAATTCCAATCTACTGTCTGCTTTGCATTCTGATAAGAGATGATGGACTAAACTGGTAAAATTTGAATGCCTAATTAGACTGTATTAAAAATTTTGCACAAGTACAGAAGTGCCTATATCATACAGGGTCGCCCAGAGGTTTCTGGGGGCCCAGGGCAAAACTAAACCGGAGACCCCTTGGGGACTCCCTTGAGGCCCTTTGAAGGCCCTACTTGGGACACCTTGATACGTGGGGCCCGGGGCAGATTGCCCCAATTGCCCCCCCCCCCCTCTGGGCGGCCCTGACATCACACTAAGCTATGCTCAGCAGGGGTTTTATGTATTGATAGCAGAATGAGATGTGGATTGTCTTTTTTCTAAGTACATATGTCTCAACTTGAGAAATCAAGACTGTATTCATATTTTTCACAGGAAATGAAGCAAATGAAGAATATCGACGAGGTTGAGGCCTTCCTCTTGAAACATGGAGAAAACATCGTAGATCTACTTGGTGCTGAGATTGATAGGATTGAATCTCTTTTGAAGGTGAGACATCAATCAATTTATTGGTCACCCCATGCTTGCCAATTTAGACCCTAGTAACTCTTCCTTTCTTGGCAGAAAACATATCCAGAAGTGCGTCACTGTGATTTGGAGGTGCTGTGACCCTACCCCTAAGGAACATTCCTCCTAGATAGAGATCTATTTTTCAAGACAGCTCCTCTCTACTCTAGTCTTGGGAAGCGGTTTTACCTGGGTTGTTGGTAATAAAGAGCTATGTCCAGATTGCATGTCAATCAGGCTGTCATCAGTGGATGAATTGTAGGGTGGCTGAGAAAAAAAAAAACAACCACAATTGCTTTGGTAATATGGCAAAAAAAAGAGGGAAAGAATAGCTGCCAATGGAGCACGAAGCCATGCTCCAGGAATTGACGAGACAGTTTTCACTATCGACCCACTGCGGTATGTTGCAGTGCTTGTTTTGCAGTGGAACCATACTGACATATTCCTAAGATAGTCGACTGATATAAATGAATCTGTAGACTCAATGTTTGCCGTCTTTTGCACAGTCGGTGAATTTAGTCTGCTTTTGACCCAGTTCGTTTAGATCGGTGAGTGTGCCCAGTCACCAGTCTGGCGAAGAAGGAGGAGGAATTTGAACCAATCCAAAACACGATTTCCACCGGGACTAGAATTCGATGCACTTCCCCTCGATCTCAGCGTATCGGCTTGCGGTGAAAGTATGCGGCTGGAGTACTGGGTGCATCTACAAACCGTAATAAATAATGTGATGAATTATGCGAAATGTAAAATATGACAGGCCGAGATAATGTGTGTTAAAGTGCGCATAGATACGAAACAAACCTGCAATCTCGTTCGTTCCAGACGAGGCCAGTGCTGCATCTTTTGATCTTCTTCTTGCAAGCGCATCGACAGGTGCTGTCATCCCAAATGTGCAAATCCGGTTTGCAGAGGTTCTTGGGCGCAGTGTGTCGGCAGATGCACGAGCAGCTATCTATATCATACTTCTGTTGAGTATTGCAGTCCTCCGCTTTGACCTTTTTGGAGAGAAGTGACATTCATCACCAGCCCATAAACAACTGGGAGCCGAGCGTGCGTGCAAGGAGAGGCTGGTCGGGGAAATAAACACTGCGGATCGCTTTCCTTCTCCGACGTACCTTGCATTCGCAGCGGCATTTTTTGTGTCTCTCCACTGGGACCTGGATCATCTCTGGTCCTCCCTTTTTGCTCGGGTCGATCTTCAACACCTAGAATAGTAATAGAAGAATGTAGTGGTGAAAGGAAAGGAGAGCAATTTGTTAAATTAACTTAAACGTTATTTATTTAACTTAGGGCGTTCATAAAGTACTAATCACTTTAACACAGCTCAATCATCTTTCCAGGAGTAGTGTACCATATTTAATCAGTTAGTTCAACCAACTGTGCTAAATTAGTTAGCGACTCTAGAAACAAAGTTGAGTTTTCACAGATGTGAAACATGGCAATCGAAGCTCAGCATTACAGTGCTGCTTCTGGAAAAATGAAAGCGCTGTGCTGCTATCATTATTCAACGCTTCGCGTAAAACATTTTCCCTTAGGAATTAAACTAGATCTGTTCCTCTTCCCCTAGAATCCCACCACAAAATCAGTTCAGGACCTCTTTATTGACAGTCTCGACCTGTCCACGAACTGGGACACAATCTTGGTTTTTGGCAGTGCAGCACCCGCCACACCGTTTCATTTGGACACAGGACGGGTAATAGATGGACCCATTCGTGTTCCCCTCTTCCACGACGGGGACGATCGTCCTCTTGGGTTTGCAGCCCAGTTTTGTGACTGCATGCTCCTTCTCCAGGGCTTTCAATTTCTCTCCCAAGATCTTCCCATCTTTGCCTGCGGGGAGAAATTGATTCGTCAACGATCGTTGAAATTTCACATCTGAATCATGAGAACGTGAAATTAAAACTGAAAACTAGGCATGATAAAACATTTTTAAGAGGTAAGAAGTTTTCATGATGCACGTACTGGATGGCTGCGAGCGTCCCGAGAAGGAGACTCGTCCGTGACCGCGACCTCGTGGCTGGGGCTTATCTCCCTGAACGGACATCCCGATATTAGGCTTGGAACAGAGTGTGAGCAATTTCCTCGTCGACTCCGTCATCGGTCCTCCCACTTCCTCCACGCTACGGATGTAACTCAAAAGCACGGGCTCGCCGCAGACGTACTCTGCGTCGAGGCGGTAGAGTAGCAATTCCGCGAAGGACGGTGTCTCCTGGTCCTGGACAATACGTACATGATAAATGATTCTATGACAACGGCGGCGAATTCGAGAATCGGACGCGCTGACGCCCACAAAGGATCTTCATCACCGACCTGCCCTTCATCGTCCTCCTCTTCACCGTGGGAAAATAACGGATGGACGAGCAAGAGAAAGGCGAAGAGGAGGATCCCTTCGACCAACTGCATGTCACCCGATCGACTCGACCCCCTGCACGCACGCGACGCTCACACCGAAAGAACCACACTGCAGAGCCGAAGCTGTCGGAAATGACGTCCTCCTCCTCTCCTCGCACGGACACCATTGGCCTTTCCTCCTCTCTCCCCCCTCCTCTCCTCCCGTGTTTATTTACACGTATCTCCCCGTGCTCGTCTAGTCAGTCGGGATGTGAGCTTACCCCGTTTGCTGCCCGGGTTTTCCCGAACCTCTGCCTCGGTTCTCGGAACTGCCGCTCTCAATGTATACATGAGTTTTCGATAGAAATAGCACGCCGACTTATGATCCAGGTACACGTACCCGGTACATCCACCTCCTACGTCCGTCGCGAATCGATGAATGTTTTCTCCTTTCGCCATCCGCTGAACGTCTCCTATCCTTGGACGATCGCAAATCTCGTATAAATAAGAAATAAAAAAACTATGGGTGGATTTTTGAACAGAGAACTATCCGATAATGCAGCTTTATTTACCGGATTTACAATGCATTCTGTTCAAAATGCTCTGTTCATTATCGGACAATGCCGCTTTATTTCAGAGAAAATGCATTGTATATCCGGTAAATAAAGCTACATTATCGGATAGTTCTCTGTTCAAAAATCCACCCTATGTTTCTTCATTGCATATTTTTTTTTAGTCTCAATGCGCAAACTTTTGTGATTTTCTATCCGAATCTTGTGCACAATGAGAGTCTCTGTGCTTGCTCCAGATATATGAAAAATCGATCAGTTCTCGCATACAATGCTTCCATCTATTTCAGATTTGTAGTTTTTTGTGTTTATATTCGGGAAAAAGTACTATTTTATCAAAGAAAAGTTTTTCTCCGATTCTACATCGTCCTAAACTATTTTGCAAGAATGAATAATCACATGACTTGAATCCTTGACCTCCTATTTGAACATTAATTAATATGAAATCTGCTTGATTATTCACTATTTGAATATGCGTAGAGCACTCCATAAGACTTTGCACTTAACATGATTTCCTCATCCATTTCCTGTTATTTTTTTCCCCAGCAGGTAAACAGTGTTTTTGGAAGCGTGCATGCCAAGTTCCAGGAGTCTGGTGCGAATTGCTTGCTGCCAGTTTAATTTCATGTGCAGTGACCTTGAGACTTTTTGACCTTGAGAAATTTCATCTTCAGAGCCCTTGACAAACGGGCCATGATTTGGTATTGCCGGAAACGAAGTCTCTCTCCGAGCAATCCGACAACCCTGGGTCTGACCGACCAGGTAACCCAACGGTAACCGTGGTACCCAACGGTACCCGAAACATCGGTAACCAAAGTGTTAACCGACGAAAAAGCCGCGTGTCGCCTGTAGCCAAATTCAACTTATTCAACTTAAAATAACTTATTTAACTTATACATCAACAACTATAAATACCATCTTGCACGATCGTATGAGATTGAAAATACGAAACCACATAATTTGAAGGCTCTTCAGATGAAATTTCTCAAGGTCAATAGTGTCAAGGCCACTACCCATATTTTAAACTGGCAGCAAACAATTTTCGCCAGATTCCTGCAACTTGGCAAGCACGCATCTGAAAAAAATTATTTATCTACTGGAAAAAAAGGAAAGGTATGAAAAAATCGTGTTAAGTACAATTACTTTCTTCGTATGAATGCCTTTAGATGGTCGATGATTATCGAGGAATTCAATTTCATCCGAATGGAGAAAGAAAACGACACAACTGGAAATAACTGAAGAAATCGATTTAGCGTTTTCGCCGCGGAGGTGTCCCCACAAAGACAGAATCCTGAAAGGAATTTGGACGAGCAGTCGAGAAAAAACCGAGTGGCAGCGACGACTACCTCGAACGAGCTGGGAAATTTGGGCGATTTGTGTCATTTGAATGCGGAACGTTAATACAGGTATATCATACAACATATGTATTGATACGTGACACTACTCGTATTATACCATTCCATTGTGGGATGTCCCAGGCTGGGAAAGAGAAAATCGCGGAGAATCCCTCGTCCCATTCGAGGCAGAGCTACATACGACCCACCTGACCTTGAATTCTGCCAAGAAGGGGAATCGGGGAAAAGGCACACGGTGATAGAAATTTGCGAAGCGAATGCGCGAGTGCAGGGACCAAGAAGCGCCAGACCGCCTCGGGGCCGGGGGATCCGTCCGGGCGAGCGCCGAGTTCGAACGCGAATACGAACGCGAATCTTGAAACCGCGCGAACGCGGTCGGAACGGTCCTAATCGCGTTCCCGTCCCCGCGATTTCGCCGCGTCGGAACCACCTCGGCCGGCGAATGCACGCGTGAGCATCGCGCGAAAACCGCGACCGAGTCCATCGTCTCCCTCCGGACGTTTCGTGTCCTTCCGCCCTCGTTCCGCGACGCGAAGATTTTGGACCTCGCCGAATCGCAGCGAACGTAGGGGAAATATGACCATAGGAAAAACCATGGAAACCATCGAGTCGATGCGAATGGAGATTCAAAGAAAGTCATTAGGGAAAACGAGCAAGAAATTTCAATCGTTTCGAGGGGGATTTTCGAGCGTGCTGCCCCACTTGCCTCCTTTGCCCCTTCCTCCCACCTTTGCCCCTTCCTCCCCTTTCCCTTCCCTCCTCCGAAATGAGCTGTGTCTATTCTGGGTTCGGTCTTTCCAAGCCGATAGGGCTTGTATGAAAAGTACCTGTATATTCCCAAAGAGCATTCCGTGCATTCTCCCGACCACCGCACATTCCAGCCACCGCACATTCCAGCCACCGTTTATATTTCTTTCGGCCACACTCCCACCTGTCTCACGTCTGTCAGCCCAAACGGCTAAACGTTTCTAAAAGCCGTTTTCCAAACGGTTCCCACTCCTTGCGGAACGTCGCGTCCTTCCAAATCCTTTATCCTACAGAAAGTTACCCCCAAATTTAACCGCTTTTCCCCCCCTAATCTTTACCTGAAGGGTCTTCTGACAGGTTGAGATAGGGAAAAAACTGTTTTTTTTTTTTTTTTTTTTT